CCCGTGCACCGTTTAGCACAGACACACAACGTTGTGTGAGAGCATGGACACTGAAACGCACCACTCCACCTATGCTTGCTTTAGATTTGATGAAATGAAGATCAGATCATATCCATTGCCTCCACATGGCTCTCAACATGGCCACAGCCTAACTTAAACAATGTTGCATCATGGGAATCAGTGTGTCAGTTCAATGCCTTAATGACTCCTCTCTCCTCTCCACAGCATTTTTTTGTCACTTGTGGCTGGAGTTGCCACTGTTTGTATCACTTGAATCTCCATTTCTAAGCACGTGGCGACATTCTCCAAACAAATAGGGGGCAGCATTTCACCTCTACGACTGGGTCCATGAAATTATTTAATTAAATGACTTAATGAAAGTCACACTGCTTTCATATAATCTTCACATGTGGCATAATTTTATTTTATTTTATTTTATTTTAACTATCTAAACACACACAGACAGTACCTTCAATGTGACTGGCAGGCCCTCGGGGCAGCTCTAATTCTTCGTCCTCCCATGTTGGACTGAGGACAGACTGGACGCTGCAGTGACTCACTATCGCCTCAACAGGTACAATAGGTCTTACAAAACAGGATGGGCCGGGGCTAGCTGGTTAGCATGCTCAGTAGATATCTTTGCGACACAATACATAGACGTCTTTGACATAACGGCAACACTGCAATTTCTTTTCTCAAACATTGCCCCTTTAATTTTCACGAAAATAAACGTATTTACCACATCTAGAATATAGCTGGTCGGTCCAGCTAGTTGCTACTTTAAGTGCCACTCCTCAGTACATGCCATTTAAAGGGACCACTGCTGCTGAGGTCAGATGTTTTGTCCTGGCACTATTTGCAGCTCCTACTTAGCTTCACTGAAAAGCTGGAAACAAACAAAACCCTAGTTCAGCTAAATGTATTTGAAAAATTGAAAAAAAGTCAAACTTATTTTCCTGTCTCTGTCCTATTTAAACATCCATCATTATCATCCATTAAACATAAATGATACATGCTACAATTATTATTTGTAACATTTCAGGCGCTTTCAGTGATTCGATTCAAACTAATCTGGATTAATTGCTGGCTTTTTGACAATCTATTTGATTGTGAGTGCTTGTGTTTCTAGCTTTCCATCATCTCAGCAAGTGCTTTGGTGTTCAGTGTTATCACCAGATGAACTAGCCTTTTCTTTAAATTAGGTATTTTTTGCATTGCATTGTCTAAAGTGGAACCGCTCCGCACCTGTGATATTGGTAACAGGAGGCAGCTGACAGAGGGTTTTTTACATGCTGGGAGTGTACTCTGTAGGGTGAGGCCCCAGGGATGAGGGCCAAGTCGGATTCTGCTTAAGACCGCCCAATATTCTGGTTCTGGCACTAAGGCAGGCTTATCACACTTTAAGGAAGGCAATACAAGCTGCTGAGCTACTTACCTCGTATCACAGGTGAAACTTACGACTTACTGCAAGCCATCTCTTCTTTGCTGCTTTGGTATTCAGCCAGAGTGGTGTTGTATAAAAGTTGATAATGTGACTTTGCCTCTCTTGGAGACTCCTCCCTGTTAGATTTGCTCTCAGAGGTCAGCGTGTCTCAAGCAGCATTTCAGTCTGCCGTGCAAATTCAATGGGTTCAACTTCCCCGCATGCTTCACGGCCACAATTGTTCTCCCTTTTTCACGGTTTTTAACTGTGCTACTTCAGTTTCAAACTACCAACTTATTGCACATTTTACATGACTCACATTTTAAGACATTGTGTGAAACGCTGGGATGTAGGAACAGGATGTAGACTGTGTCATCTTCCCACTCTCAGTGGTTTAGTAGATTGAATAGTAAAAATTCAAAGTTGAAGGGACCGGATAATCCAATCCAAAGCCGTCAAATAAACCCAGTGTTTGAAGGGTATCTGAGGTAAAGCGTGCAATCTACCAAACTGCAAGTCAAACGCACAGCATCCACTCTGGATTCTAATACCCGAAATCAAAAACAGGACGTCGAACGCTGAGGAAGGTGCACTTATATCTCACTGATGGTCACTCCAATTATCTGTCATGGAAGTGCATCCTCATGAGCCACTTTTCTATAAGAAGCTTCCGCACATGAATATGAATCAGAATAAAGAGCCAGTACATGGGAGGATGAGGGTAGTCCAGCTTTCATGGTGAAGACGTTGATCCCAATGTCAGTGTGACAGGAGAGGAAGAAGCCCTCATCAGGGCGGGGAACTGGTGCGTCTGCGTCAGAGATGCACATGACCAGCGTTCCCATCTAAATCAGTCAACCAGTTATCACGGAGCAACACAGTCAGATGCAACGCTGATGGGCCTATCCAACCCTAGACATTAGGTTTTCATTTGCATGATTGGGGGAATGTGTTGATCATTGTTAGCTGCTCCCTTTAATTCTCTAATTCCTGACTGGTATTCCTCCCACTTCACTCATTTCTGTTTGAAACAGACAAGTGTAACGCAGGGGACATTTATATCTGACTCCTTCTAAGAACAGAAAGGTCCTGAGTATTTGATGAACAGATCACCACTACTTCTCGCCTGGGCTCTATTGATATTTAAATGTTCAGCTCAGTCTGTAACAACAGTAATTAGAATCACAAAGCATACTTTATGATGAAATTATAGATCGATTAATGAAAAACATGTTGATTCATCTCCTGACACATTTCAATCTGAAACACTTTTTTCTTCCTTTTATTGCTTTTTCATTCATTCTCTATAAACTGAACTTCTTTACTTATGTCTATGAGTCTGCAGCCATGCTAGCAGCTCTGAGAGGCTGCCTGTGAGGCCATGGACCAGCTTAAAGTTCACTACCCTTATGGCTAAAAATACCCTTCTTGAATTTGTTACAGAACCCAGTTAAACACTAAATCTAATCTCAGCTCAATTTTATGGTCAGTGGATGTTAAATCTACAAAGGAGGCTGACTTTATGACTTTAGTGCATTGATAACACTTCTTTCAGTTTGCATTAAGAAGTACAACCACCAATATGTATTCAAATATCAAAAGAAATACAAATCTTTCCGAGTGCCACATTATTGATGTCACTCTGCCAGCAGTGGTCCAGGTCTGCACTGTTAGTGATAGCCATCCATCATACTTAATGACTCTGTGCTAATGTACTAACGATTAAACACACTACGCTGGAATAATAACTTTGTCTAATAATGAAACCATTTCCAAACACAGCACAGCAGTGTTTCTATTGGCCCAACCAGCACGTCCACTCTGCCAAAGTTGGACAAATATATAGTCTGAGCTGCGATCCGTCCGCAGCTGGATAGGAGATGTATGCTTGAATTTGTCCAATGTGACATTCATGCATTTCACAAAAGATGAAAAGGATCTAATATCTAGTTCCTCCACAAAATATTCAGCTTCCACTCTCTTTGTTCAGATCAGAAAAAAACATCAAACACATGATTGAAATGTCTTTATTGTTCTTCTATGAGCTTCATCCCCCCCCAAAAAGAGCACAGTATAACCAGACATTGTCTGAGTAGAGCATTATGGTTGCTATGTGGCCATCAGTAGTTTTTTAAGGGCACATAAACTGGAATGAGACTGCAGCACAGATCAGCAAAAACAGAGCGGCCCGTGACTCTTTCCCTCCTTGCATCCTAGACACAGTGTGAGCGTCGAAGGTGCATGTGTGCAAGGTTATGAGAGACAGAGCCATATAGGGAGGCAGGTGAAAACAGAGTTTATATGGATCCGTCCTGACCTCTGAAAGAGAGAGAAAAAGCGAACAGGGCAGGGTTTATTAGATTACTACTGATCTCTGCTGACAGACTGCCCTTCTATGCGTACAGACACGGTGAAGACAGAGGCTGATCCTCGGCTCAATACTGCCACCAAGTGGGAAAAAATACAACAAGTTACTGCTAAATAACTAATTATAACACTTGGAGGTATTTTTTACTGGGCAAATCACTGATATTTGATTCAGTATGACTCTTCAAGAGGAAGAAATGCTGCTTTATTAGGAATGTATGGGCAACATCAGAATATATGAATAACTCAATTATGATAGGTGTGACTTGAACACTGAACAATTTTACAGTAAAGGCAACTCTTATTATCTGCACAAAGGCTTTAAAAAAAGACCTTCACACGCTGGCTGGTAAATAAATCTTTTTTCTACATGGACATGATGGACAAATGTTTCCATCACAAATGGTCTAAAGCATGTGAAGGTGAAGGTGTGAGCGTATCGATATGTAAAAATTATGTAATGAGTTGACGTGTCATATCTATAACTTGGGTAAGTGATAACTTAAATGTGAAGGAATTATTCCTATTCATTGAATCATCAATTGATCACACTAAGAATGTGAGCTGCAACTAACAATTATTGTCATTATCGATTAACCCGTCAATTATTTTTTAATCGACTTGCAGATTAAACAACTAATCGTTTCAGCTTTGAAGCATATCATATCATCTTTAAACGTAATTTAAAAGTACAGCATTAAACGCATTTACATTTTTAAGCAACACTTTTAGGCAAAGGAAGACAAAACGTAAAAAACAAAAGTATCAGACACTGATATAATTGTATATTAAAAAAACAAAGAACCACAAACCAAATTCTGTGACCCATTGTGTTGGCTGGTGGCAGCGCTCCTGGAGAGTTTATGTGTGGTATGGAACTTAACATTAAAATATATTTGTTAAGTGTGGCACTTTTTTCTGGAATATTTAGAACTGTCTACATGTCATTAATTTGGCTTCTGGTGGTCAGTTTATCTTAAATAAAATGCAGTCGATCAGAATAGCATAATAATGGTGAATTGATCAAAGTATTTTGTGTGCGTCACATTCTACCTGCACAGAGGTACAGCGTGTCCACATACTTTTGGCTATGTATCGCCACAAAACCTTTCTCGGTCTAGCCGTCAGGCCATTGGGTATTAATTGCGATGACGGATTTCTTTCGAACCAATCAGGTTGGTTTTGTCACCCGGGTGCTGTTGCGGGAACTGCCAGACACTCAAACTAGCAAACCACGTCGGAGGACGTCTCAATCCACAAGTGTTCAGCAGAGAGGAGAGAGCTGACAAAGTCGAGTCTGTAAAGTGAGTTCTGTCGATGCAAGACTGATACATGCCGCTAATGAACGGGTAGTGGGTAGAGCGTGTTCCGCATGCAGTGGGAAGAGTTAGCTTACTTTTCTAGCCAGCTAACGTTACTAGCAAACATAAGGAGATGAGCTGCTTAGCTACTGCTAGCTGTATCAATTTTCCTTAAAACACCGGAAGTAAGGTCAAACTTTCTTCAAAATAATAATAGAGCCCATACGTAACTGCTCTAGCGTTTGTGCTACCGGTGCTAGCTCTTTATACAACTAACCTAGTAGACAACTTTATTTTGACAGTTGGACGGGAAGTGGTAACGTCACCGTTTAAGTCCGTCTCTAAGACCTTGCTGACAACGTCCCGGTCGCTCTTAAATGTATTTGAAAATGCATATCACTATTCGTAGATCTGGCCATGTTGTGGTGCACTGTATCTCGCTTTATAAATCGTCAGGTTATTATGAAAGATTCGGCATAAGATGTATGTTTCTAATGCTAGTTCTGTAATCAAAGCGAGTGCTCTTCTGTGTATTACATGTTTATTAACAAAGGAAATGATAACTTAAACGATGTGATTACACTGCTTTGCTTAGCCTGTTATTTACAGTCACAAACACCATCCATAAGTTATAGGCAACTATTGTCCAATTATGTCTGTCATAAACTAAGGTATTAATAAAAGCTTTGTAAATAGTTATTCCTCAAATTCATACCTGAATGAATAGGAACAAACAGTTACACTTGTAAGTGAAGTTGAATGTGTTTGAACTGTTCTCGCAGCACTTCTCTTGAAGGCTGTCTAAGGGATTTCTGTTCTCTGTTGTCTGGAGTAGAACTGGCTGATATTTAATATATGAAGCCTAAATCTTTTCTCAAAGTCACAAAGTTGTGGCAATATTTTGGGTATACATTTTGGTGCCTTTATACAGTATTTAATCTTCACTGAGGATGAGTTGGGAGGGAATATGTTCATCATTCAATTCACTTGAATACATCAGTCATTAACCCCAAATGAATATCTGCACCACATCGGCCCACTGACCCATTGATCGCCAGTATTTAGTATTGGCATTCACAAAGAAAAGAACACATTTAGCCATTTAATGCTTAACATATGTAACAACATTTGTTTCAAAATATTCGACACTCGTGAGGTGTAATTTTTTTCCCTAAATTCTTCTTGTCTTTGTCAGCTGTCTTGGTTCCCATTGGCTGATGGGGTGGACAGCATCACTATGTCTCACAGACTGACCAAGGAGGAGCTCGATGACCAGTTTGAGCTGTTCTTGAAGGAGGTAATGTAACTTAATGTTCAGTATGGAACTGTTCATAGATTATCATGACACACATTTAGATGGCATGAATCACACTCGCAAAGACACGGAGACGCAACTTGGCTGGCTTCATCTGCTTGTTAAAGTGATGCCTGTCCTTCATTTAGACATCGATGTCTTTGAATGTTTGTTGTGGCTCAGTTCAGGACGGGACATTTATAGAAAGAGAGAACAGTGTTTGAACACAGTGGATGTCCCGTTTGTTTGTTTTTTGTTAATATTCTTTACTGTTTTATTACTTCTTTACTTATTTATAATACTTGTTTTGACCTTGTTTTTTACTATGTCTCTTGTTTGCACTATTCTGTATGCTGCGGTGATCCTGTAAATGTCCCCGCTGCGGGACTAATAAAGGATTATCTTATTTTATCTTGGCCCTGGGACAATAAATATAGAACCTGGGACACAGAGATACAGTGAGACATTGTGGTGCAATAGAGACACTTATCATTACAGACATACATTTATGCATCATGGAATATGTAGTATACAACTTTATTGTTAAATGTTCACATTCTACGTCACATGTGCTTACTGCTCACATGCTAAATCAATCACAGAGAGACTGATCTGAAGAATCTCCTCAACAATTTAATTTAGAGTCAAATAGATCATAAAGAGGAGTATGCTTAAGGGCGGGGCTACATTGTGATTGACAGGACGCTACCACGGTGCTGTCCGGTCTGAGAGTTGTCCGTGTTGTTGTCGTCCTACTTTAACCCTTTCACAGTGTCTTTTCACTTCATGAAAGTTAATTGTAACATTTTGGTTGCCTAAAAATGTCTTGCACCTGGCTCCATCCTCCCGTCCACTTCTTTAGTACAGCCTATGGTCTGAGCTGGAGTAACAACGCGGCTGCTTTCTTGCAGTGACAGCAGGAGGCTTTGCCAAAGCTTCATAACTGCACCATGTAAAACACAGATGAGCAATCGGTCTACAACGATGCACAGTGTGGAATAGTGGTTTTGGTAGTCGACTATTCTGTGAAACCCTGTTAAAGGTCCGACATTAACATCTTCAGAAGCACAAAGAGGCAAGACTGAAATGAGGGACCCTGAATTCTCACCAGTAGCAACATGGCAGCTGACTGAAAGCACGTGTCCATCCATCCAATCCACACCAACTCCAATTCTCTACGAAGTTACAAGACTTACTGATTGTGTACCTCTCTTATTTAAAAGTACTATAATCTTATAGAAGAATGCAGAGTGTCTCACTCATGGTGTAATACACACAGTGTTATCCTGAAGGCATCGCTCTGACGTAAACCTGATTTCGTGTCAGTCTGTTTCAGATGACTCTGACAAGCAGCCCGGCGCTAAAAGCAGTCAGAAATCAGCCCAGAGAGCAGCTGTGCCTTGGTGGCAAGATGAGGAACACAGCGGCGGAGGAACGGGGAGAGGTAATAACAAGGAGAGGATTCTCCATCAAAGAACAGCCTGGACGTGTTAGCCTGGCACTTTAGCCAGCATGACATTGTGTCAGTGTTTAAGCTCTGCAGTCCAGGGAGGAAGTGAGAGAGGATTTGGGTTTATGTTATAGGGCTTAACAACAGGAATGATCAACTGGCAGTAATCAAGTGCCCATAAAAGTGAATAAATTCCTCAGTGCGTGCTCTTTTAACCCAGAAAGCTGATTTCTCCTGCTCACAGAGCTGTGCCTCCATGTACCAGGATGCATTGCATGCAAGCTTCTGTCCAACATAGCCTCCATGCAGTCCCTCTCTGCGCTGCATCTCATCAGCAGTATACTCTCGGAAGAGTTAAAGTATCTTAAGAGTGATACCTCCCCCATCAGGTGGAAGTCATTCCTTATTCACAGGGCAGAATGAGCTGCAGGAAGAATCTCTTTGATTTCTATCCTACTCCAGGAGCGCATTGTCACTGACAACATGCATCTATAATGACTTGTGCTGTACACTAACATTTATTTGGAATTGACAAAGGCATAAATGTAATTTTTCGCTGTATTCATGTCGGATGGGAGTTACGGACAACTGTCCAGAAGCTTTTGTTGATGTTATCGTTAGAACTGAAAACATTAGTCAAGTGATGGATTTGCAGCTTTCTCCTTTTATTTTTTATTGATAGTGAATTGAATATATTTGTCGAACAAAACAAAACAGAAAATATCACTGTGTGCATTTTTCACTATTTTCTGATAGTTTTTAACTGAAAATAATCTGCAGAATAATCAATATATCTACAGTGCCTTGCATAAGTATTCACCCCCCTTGGACTTTTCTACATTCTGTCATGGTATAACTACAGAGTAACATTTATTTCATTGGGATTTTATGTAATGGACCAACACAAAATAGTCCATTTGGAAGTGGGGGGAAACATAGCGGAAACCCAACACTGCTCATCACCCTGAGCACACCATCCCAACAGTGAAACATGGTGTTGGTAGCATCATGCTGTGGGGATGCTTCTCTTCAGCAGCTACAGGGAAACTTAAGAATTGAGGGAAAGATGGATGGAGCCAAATACAGGGCAATCCTTGAAGAAAATCTGATGCAGTCTGCAAAAGACTTGAGACTGGGGCGGAGGTTCATCTTCCAGCAGGGCAATGACCCTAAACATACAGCCAGAGCTACAATGGAATGGTTTAGATCAAAGCATGTTACTGTCTTAAAATGGCCCACTCAAAGCCCAGAGCTAAATCCAATAGAGAATCCATGGCAACACTTGAAAATTGCTGTTCACAGACGGTCTCCATCCAATCTGACTGAGCTTCAGCTGTTTTGCCAAGAAGAATGGACAAACATCTCTAGAAGTGCAAAGCTGGTAGAGACGTATCCCGAAAGACTTGCAGCTGTAATTGCAGCAAAAGGGGGTTCTACCAAGTATTGAGTCAGGGGGGGTGAATACATATGCACTCAACACTTTTCAGATTTTTATTTGTAAATACTTTTGCAATCCATGTAATATTTCCCCCCACTTCCAAATGATGGACTATTTTGTGTTGGTCCATTACATAAAATCCCAATGAAATCAATGTTACTCTGTGGTTGTACCATGACAAAATGTAGAAAAGTCCAAGGGGGGGTGAATACTTATGCAAGGCACTGTATGTGTTGGTATTGAACACAGCGTCATATAGCCACTGGGTGCTTAGTCCTGTTATTCTGGCTCGTTAGCTCAGGTTGAAGTTTCCAACAGAAACCAAAGTGTATTTTGTTTGTCCAGGCTCACCTCTCCATCCTACTGGTCAAATTGAAGTTCCACGCTCTGTCTAACTTCACACGTCTGACTGATCTCTCCTCGACTCTTGTCCCTCCTCATTATTCAGTTCCAACAGGACAAGCATGATCTTTCACTGTTTCATTTCTTTCTGCTTCTCTCATAACACTGTCCAGCCTGCCTGGCTCTTCCTGTGTCATGCTCACTGAGCAGTGAAACACATCTCCAGCATGTTCGTGTGCAGAGTTAGACTAAAGTTAATCTTTAGGGGCGCTTTCACAAGCCAACATTTAGTCTGTTTTAATCAACCTCTGGTGCGAACATTCAAGATAAACTGGAGGAGGAGGGTCAAAGTGGAAAAAACAAATTCAACAGCAATATTTCAAAGTCCGTGATACCCTGCATAGAAGCTCTCAAGCTGAAAATGATGAATTTGCTCCTTTGTACACGCCTCTTAGCAAATTATTTTTTAATTAGGGCTGCTTTAACTCATGCACTGTGAAACCGAACCAGACTAAAGAGAAAAAGAACCCAAACTATCACTTTGACTGTGATTCGGTAGAGCCAACAGACCTATACAATGAATCTACAGTTTTGATTAGTGGTAACGCTCTTATAAAACCAATAATAGACTCATTTAGAGTCTAAATTATTCTTTGAGAAGTGTTGCCCTTTGTGAGACATTGTAACATAGTCACTATGTAGTAGCATCTAGTCAACAGATCTCCCTCACTGCTACTGTGTAACATGTCAAATCTGCACTTCTGTAGGAAAGTGAGTGTTGATTTCACAGCTTTGTGTTTGTCTGATATTACTAAAAGCTGTCCCTTTCTGTTTCCTCTCTTTCCCAAGCAGAGATGGCCAAAAGCAGATTTATCAAAGGCAAAAAGTCTCATCATGAGAACAACAATGGTGAGAGCTTAGAGTTCTTTTAGACCACGTTGTGTCCGTGTGGAAACGTCATGCATCCACAGTAGTGTTCTCAGCTTGTTTCTGTGCCAGTTATCTAAGAGTCAGCTGCTTAAACCTCTGTTCAGTCCCCTGCTGCTCTGTGATCACCAGCACTGTGTTTGAATTCAGCTACACTTTTGAGTTAGTATTTCACGTATTTTTTGACAAATTATAACAAGTATGAAATAGTGATATGATGCTGGCTCCTCAAAAGCCAGGCAGTCCCTCCCACGCTGGTCAAGTCATCATCATTATTATTATTATGATGTTCACATAGCACAGCTGTTCTCAAGCACCGGTAGTGATTGTATGTATTTATATTTAAAATGAATGATCACAGAGGAAGTTAGAGGAAAGAAAAACACTTGTCTTCTGAACTCTACTCCACCCCCCCACCCCCACCTTCACTGGGCTGGTTTACATCATTGTTTTGTAAAAGTTGAGTCTTCTTCATTAACACAAGATCGTCAAGCTAGCACTGTGGAGACGGTTTGTTTTAGGTGAGAAAAATGCTCAATGTGCTGAAATGGAGAGAAAAAATGGGAGAAAAGATATGCGTTTTTGTATTAAGCCAGACTGTATCAGCCAGGCTGTACAGGTCCTACATTACCCACAATGCAACTCAACTGCCGACCCTTTGGTTGGAGGTTCTTTTGAAACTTGTAATCTTCTGGAGTGAAGTGATCTTTAGGCCTCTTCTTGTTTCATAGTCTTCTTTCCAGGGGTCCTTACCCCCTCTACCATTAATACAACTCTCCTGTTTGATTATTTCCTATTAAACTGTCTTTCAAAAGAATTAATATTGTTTGCTTCACATCAAATTTTCCCGTATTTCATGGTTGGGCTTCCTCAGTTGCTGAACGATACTAAACACCTGATTTCACTCACTGAATAGAACCTGATGGAATAGACCAATGAAAAACGATGACCGTCCAGCTTATGTTTGAAGGAAGGCCCCTGTGTTAGTTGTCAGTCTGAAGAAGATCTGAGGTACTCGTATGTAAGTTAAAGGGAGACAGTCTCCCTCTTGCTCTGCCTTCCTGTACCTGTAGGCTCTATCGCAAGACAGTTCTACTGACTGCCGCACATGCTCTGTAGCAAAGCACAGAGAGAACGACCTTCTTTGGGATTACGTTAGAAGACTAACGTAATCAGAAAACCGAAGTAAAATAAGATTAGTCCAGTCCATCCAGCGGTCTGTGTCAAAGAATGTGCTAAAGAGGAGATGGGGAGCAGCCCCCCCTGAACACTACTAAATGAAACCAAGCAGCCATCTTTACCTCATAGGGTTGCGTAACCACTTCCTGTCCGTTCAGCGTCTATCCTCCTTGAATACAATGGGGTGGGTGTCAGGTCCGTGCTGCCCTACCATGGATGGGTCCTCCTGGAGTCTTGCAGGCCGTTCTCTGACCCAGAACTCTGAGTTCTCTGTGGAAGATGTAGAATTGATGTCCCTAATCGCTACCCCTGTTGTGTTTACACCCCCAAAACATGAGATAGAGCGAGTTACGTCTTGCTGTTTGAAGTGAAATCAACAGTGAGATTGATCTTCTTTTGAAAATTGGCTTTTCTTTGAAATGGGCAACACAAAAGCACAATCCATTGCAGGGAATTTTAATAAAAGATGGCCAGTGTGTGTGGATGAATGTAATCAAAGCCTGGTGTAGTTTAGATGTTTCATTCTGATAGCTATTCCAGATTTCATTTGACAGTTCACCGACATTATTTACTCTGTTTCTTCCTGCTGTCCGAAGTCGTCAGCGTGGAGCCCTTTTCTAGGCCGGTCCCTAAACCTCGCTGCAAAGCTTCTGATAAACCGGTTCAATTGGACACGACCCACAAAGATACAGTCTTGAGCGGTTCCCGAACCGTGGAAAGACACAGAACGCCGTCCGATGGCGCAGACAGTGTGAGCAGTGAAAATGTCCCGAGTGTGTCAGGAGAGAGGAGCCCTGATGAGACCCTCTCTGATGAGGCTCCACCACCCAGCACTGATAGTCATTCCCAAGATGGTAACTTCAGCTCAAGTCCTCAAACCCTCTGGTAGTAGAGTAGTACCACTAGTTCTGTTACGTTTCTGTCTTTGTCTCTATTAAGCTTTGAGTTTTTAGATTTGATGTTGATGTTCTTCTGCCTGCCACATGAAACTAACAGTCTTGTAAGTTTGCTTACCAATACATTAGATATATCTGTTACATCGGATGTAATTAGTTGTGTCATTGTTGTTCACTGCCTGATGGAGGTTCTTCATTAAATCATTTTGATAAACTGGTAATTCCATTTAACTTCCTTTAAACTTAAATGTCTCCAATTTAACTTTAGAAATTGATATTTTTGGATTATTATAAGAACTGAACAGGTAGCGGAGAGTGGTTGGCAGTACAGGGTCACAGTAGTAGTACACAGTGTGTGTCCTCCATCCATCTTAGCATTGGTTATATAGACCTGTGTCAGCATCGAGGCTTGAGTCACAGATTCATCCAGGTTCCATCAACCGGTACTCGCAATCAGTCCCCACCTGCAGCTGATAGTCCTGAGTGTTGAATTACAGTTGACACAAGAGGAATAAATGCTCTAGAATAAATACCTCTAAGTATAATAAATAGCTTATCTACTTACAGCTATTAGTCATAATCTCTGAACAAGGTTCACTTGTGCTTTTCTATGACACTTCCCTCCAGGACTGCTGGGATCTGGGAAGACTTTCAGGAAGTCTGTTCGACAGGAGGACAAGGATCCAGGAGATGCTGGTTTGAAGGAAGATGGGCTGAAAGCAGCTGACCTCAGCAGAGACAGTATTGAGCTAGAGGGTGAGTCGAGGACAACAGAGATGAGCAGGGTGAGACATGGGGACAAATACTTCAATGCCTCCCAGTCAATGATAGCTGTGGCGGGCAGCAGTATGTTGTTTTTTACGTCCGTCAGTCCGTCTATTACGTTTTCATTAACGCAATACCTCAAAAACATTGTGAGGCAAATATCCAACTGGACTCAAGAATGAACTGGATAGATTTTTCACTGTGACCTCATGTCCGTCCCATTCTCCTGAACGTGGTTTCTCAGGAACTTCTTGAGTGAATTTCTTTAAATTTGGCACAAACGTCCACCTGGACTCAAGGATGGATCAAAGGTCATTGTGACTTGGCCATAACTCATAAATCCATATGCTAATTATGACAATTTCACACAAAAGTGATGACATTTTGGACAGATATGGCTGTAAACTGCAACATGGTTGGTGGAGGCATACAACCTCAATCTATTTTTGAAAGTCCATTTTGGCTAGTAGTTAGTTGGATCACATTTCATATAGAAATTGTTGTCTATGGTTGGGGTTTTCTACAAATAAATTCTGAACTGACATCTGACTAATAATTCAGTTGAGAAATATCACACTGCTCTCCGTGTGTGCTCTCTTTTTGTGTGCAGACTCAGTGATGGTACCAGCTGCTAACACGACCGGCTTGGACACGATAGAGGAAGAAGAGGAGAAAGCCAGGTTCTTTGCCCAACTAGAGGCAGGAGCTCTGTCATCTATAGATTACTCCATTATGAACAGAGAGCTGGACTTAACAAGTTCTGCCATCGCTACTAACCTCAGGTATGTAAGCAGCCATGCTGGTATATTACACACTGTAAGCACTGAAGAAGAGAATTAGTCTGAACAGATCAACCATGAAGGAGTCCCACCACCAGATGTTTTGGTACCAACACAACATTTTTGTTTCCTAGACTAAACCTGCATGTTGCTCTTCTTGAAGGTGATGTTTGTTTTACACTCCATCAGTGTTCTCCAGTTGCTTACACACGTTGCTTGTACAATGCACAGTACTGGGCTTCCTTTTGGCAGACGGTTGGACCTCATGCAAGAACATTTTCGTATTCATAAACGTTTTACTCTTTCTGTGATTGTCGCTAGTACAAGGGTTCAACACCAGATTTAGCAAATCCTCTTGAAGACACAAACTTGCTGTGAATGGCTCGTTTCAACTTCATCAATGTACTTGGGTTGTTTGTGAAATCTGATCATTAGCATCAACGCCTCTAAATCACTTTAACAGGCCACCGGTTCTGCCATGAAACAGAAGGAATACAAAGAGGTATGTCAAACCACGGAGCTTCAAGTCCTGCTGTTTGTCAAAAATGTATCATATTTAAATCTGCAGCTGTCAACCCCTTGTCATTGTACAGTCGTACTAAGACAGAAAGAAAGGTTACATTGTTGCAAAGTGGGTGGTATGTGCAAAGATACAAAGCCGGTTTCCCTTTAAATCCGAGTAGTTCATGACTTGTGAGGTGGTCATGGGGATTATGAGAGGATACACTCCATTACAGGGGATGTTCGCCTGTAGAAAGACTCTGAGGAAGCTGTGGGACTGTAAGACATTTCTTGGCAACTACTGAATTGCAAACGTTGTTGGGTTGCAAATTGTAAACACCCTTTTTCATAGATTGTATCAACGATTGGTAACATTAACGGTCAATCAATGGAGTAATCGAAATATTTAAAAAAACTTGCTGATACCAAATTATAGGATAATATTTTCACAGCAACGTATTGCATATTCTGTGACAGCATTGCCTATGAAAAATAAATAGATGTAGAGGCCTAGACATATAAAACGCATTCAGTATAATTAAATAATGGATTACATGAGTAAAAATAATCTCTGCTAACGTATAGTTTTAAAAGAGAGACGCTCAAAATCAACTAAATGTAACGATGCAACAAGAGAGAAGATCCTAACAAACATGTCAGCATCCTGATTTCTGCTTCACTTAGCATGTCGACATAGTTGAGTGTAATATGGTACCACATCCTGGTCCTCATCACTCCAGCAGCTGGAAACACTACGGCTGTATTCAATGAAGCTTTGATTGAGGTTTACAAATGAACCTTTCTGATGTCTGTCATCATATTTAATGAAGAGATGAGGAAATATACATGTTATTTATGGATATCCAGAAATACTTGTGTGCAAGATTTGCCAGTCCGGGGAATCTGGTTGACTTATCCAGTCTGTCAGCTTTGTGTACAAGGATGGGTAACAAAACCTCCTTGTCTCCAGCTAAAGCCACGTCAGTCAAGTAGAAAAACACAGCACACTACCAGCAGTCTGGGTTAACTAGACGTAGCTTGTGAAAATAAGTCGTAAAATAATTGTTTTCTAAATTTACTGGTGACATGGGTCATATATTATTTTAGAAAATCCCCTTGTCTGGTATAAAGTAACTCCTGCACTTTGAGGATAGCTAACATTCTGCTACGGATCATGAGTTTAGTAAATATTGGGACTACCCTCTTACCTCTGTGATATTAACTGTAGATGGGGCTCGGAGGTTCCTCAGCCCTAGACAGATGTGCCAAAAGTTAATGTTGAGCAGTGGAATTGTACACTAACAGACCACATGCGTACCTACGGGGTCTTGGACACCGTGTCTTTGATGCTGCTCTGCCCTTGAAGATCAACATGGTGAATGTAACGTAATGAGGATGAATGTCGTCCCTCCAGGAGAGCTGAGGAAGTCGTGGGGCAGAGTGATGATGAAAGCAAGGCCAGAGTCCCAGAGACGGTCAGAGAGTCTCCAGGTAGGACTAATACACCTTTGAACCCCTTTAAAGCTTCATCTCTGTCTGTAATCTGAGTGTCTCAATCACATCCTTTCTCTCTCTTTACAGGATCTCCTCACTACAGCGAGGACTTTGAGGAAGAGGAGAGTGGAAAAGAGCCGCTGGAGGAGGTTTGTAGTTTATGATTAAACTCAGAATGTGTTCTTTGGTAAGTTAGGACTTTATTAATAAACAAAACTATTTCAACTCGAGGTTCACTCACTAACTTTTCAGCTTTCAACTACATGACTACACAGCAATTGGCTCAGTTGTCATCATGTGACCTATGTATGGAACTTCAGTTATTTGTCAAGTGGCCATATATTTTGTACGCTCTGTATAAAAACTTGTTGCTTGAAAGTTATTATAATTATATGGATCTTGTGCAAACAAGATAATACATTGTGTGCATAAGTAATTATCTTGTGTATAAAAGATTTTTTAAATGGAGGCTGAGTTCCAAAATCTCATACTTGACTTTTAGTACGTACTTCAGCTGCCCTTACAAAGTACCTACTGGTGCATGTAGTATGCATTCAATTGGGACATACTACTTGGTCACACTATTGCGCATTAAACTTTAAGCCTTTCGCCTCTATATCTGCTGCAGTCCATAGCTGTCAATGAGCTGTCATCAGACCTTCATCTGTCTGAGCTGCCGTACTGACTCCAGCTCAAAAGAGTTAACCTGCTGTTTACATCCTTGATATTGGCTGAGGGGTGTCAGAGCTGCAAACAGGGTCAATACAATTAGCTATTTATCTCTTTATGCTGAAATATCACAAACTGACATCTTGCTGCATGATTCAGTAATGCATCCTATGATCTTTTTCTTTTTTCCAGAAGTCTAAAATGTCTACAATTCTTGCCAAAGGTAAGAGAAAAAGACTCTGCAGTGATGGGTGGGTGTTTGGAGGCACACAGTCTTTCAGTGAAAGACTGTGTTCCTCCAAACACCCACCCAAACACCCACTCAGTAAAAGACTGTGTTGAGACAAACAAGCCGTACACAACACTTCTATCATTAAATAAAGAAGCACTACAGTGGAAGCCATGTTAATACTCATGATGAATGTGTGCGTAGTGTGGAGGCTTGAAATCTACCTCACAGAGAGAAGGCCGCGGATTCAGGCTCCAGCTGTTCAACAGTAGAGTCGTTTCTTAATAAATCTACCATAAACTGGTTTACAATTAAAAAACATTTAATCCTACTGGAGCTAATACAATTACAGAATGAAGTACACTACTAACAGAATATATAATATATGATCCGCACAGAAAAGCTATTCACTCGCGACTCAGCCTGAAAACACAGATGTTTCCACACTGAGGGCCGAGCAAGAAGAGCGCGAAAATAGCCCTCCCAGCACTTCCTCATACAGTTTGAAATCCCCCCCCCCCCTTTTGTCCATCTTAATTCCTATTGGCTAATTTCAGCTGGCTCCTCTCTCAGCCAGCTAGGACCCCCTAGCAATTTCTGCGTCCGCTGAAATTGCCTGTCTATAAATCTGACTCTCCCTTGGCTATTGTTCACAGTTTAATACATTCAATGACTGTCGTTTATGGTTTAACACTTCTATGATAAACATTGGATTCTATATAAAGATAAGGATTTGCAACTTTTGGCAAAAACTTCACAAGTTTCACAAGCATAGATATAAAGGTGCTACAAATTCTACTAAGATACACTTCTAACTACAAATTCTAAAACACTTCTACAATTATGAATCTTCTAATTATGTATTCCAAAACACTTCTAATTATGAATTATTAAACACTTCTATTATAATTTCTTAAAACACACTTCTAAACCCAAATTTCCTACAGTAGTCTCACTCATGTCTCAAGTTTCCAGTTCTCTGTTATTATGTGAATCAACAATGACAGAGAAGCAGTTGTTGGCAATGAAAATCTCAGATCTCAGGCTTCCTGTAACAGTGCTCATTGAATGTGCTCATTAGTTTTACTTGGAATTACAGACTGCCTACTCAATGTATATACAGTATATTAGTGCTGTACTGCTATGGTGGGTGAATGGGAAAAGGTTGTGACCATGAATAATGATCTGAGCTGCAAATAACAGACAAACCCGAACTCAACTTTTGTCTCAGTGTCTCTCCATGATTCCCTGGATGACACCGGTGAAGAGGACGGAAGAAAGGACACAGTAGGGTCTCTGGACAGAGGTAACACCAACACATAGGGTCAAGTAAGGAGGAGCACAAAACAAGTACCAGAACATAATATAATGCAATCAACCAATAAATATTCCAAATTTACAAAGAGCAAGCTTTATTTAAAGTCAGCGGGTGGTATGCTATTGCCCTTTTCTTATTTTTAAATGTATTTCTCCAGACATTATTAAGATTGGTGCACAATGGATCATTTATGCCCATCTCATCCTTTTGAAAGATGTAGCACACTCATTCTAGAAGATTCTAGATCTAGAGCAACCAGACAGGATACGTAGTTTCCTTCATTTATTGATACATAACCCATGCTGCATTTTGTTTTTCTCAAAACATATTGGCTGTTACAAATTAGTAATATACTGTATCAACATAACTTGAGGAACCCGTCTAAAAGTATTACATTTTTTGAATTAAATATTGAGATAAATATCATTCCATAGTCTTAAAAAAATCATAGCTTATGTTCTGATGAGGTCCACAAATATATATTTTCTCACAATAAATCATTGAGCTTCCTTTGTTTCTTATTACTCAAATCCAAGACCTCACGATTCTTTGCCGTTCATTTGAAGATATGTCATTTTTTATTATTAAAATGTCTAAAATGACTTGACCTGCGTTGTATATTTTGTTGTGTTTACTTTCATAATCCCACTATTATGATGGAGACACCACGAGTGGCAGAAAATTCCATATTGTTTTTGTCACAGCGTTCTATAAATGAGTTTCCTTCCAGGCCAGTCGTATGTGCAGAGTGGAGCCTCAGACATGGAGGCTCTTCATGAGGCCTACAGACAGATCCATGTGGTGGAAGATTCAGATAACCATCATCACCATCATTCCTCTCTGGAAGGGAGGGGGAGGATCAACAGACCTGCGTCTTCATCGTCTCCTCCTCAACATGCCACACAGTCTCTTCAGCCTGCATCGACCAACGCCTCAGGTCAGACAACAACCTCGAGACCGTGACAATGAGGAGGATTTCAAAACCAGAGCCGGTGTCAAGGGGTTCTTTCCCAGAGAAATTACATTATTAGAGACTTTGCTTCCTGCATTCTGGTGATTTTTAAAGAAAATAACAAAACAATAAGTACACTGAAACAGAATTTTTATGTTAAATACTTTCAATTTTATTTTTGATTCTCAGGAAAGAGAATCCAATAATTTGTCACTCTGGCATGAACAAATATTCATCAGTTTTCATTCATTGATTTTTTTCCCCTGCTCTAGTATTTCTTTCTCTTCGTATACATGCTCTCCATTTGTCTGTTTGTCCTTACTGAAGGCCCTTTAAGACACAACACGACAACAGAAGCGTTGTGCTCTGAACCCATCATTTCTAATGGCTTAGGGACACTGTGAAAAGAAATGGTGAGAACTATGGGACGGTGAAACTGTGTAAGGGCAATGGAAAATAGGAGTCTCCCAGAAAATCATGAGGGTTGTCAAGTGTGACCACCAGACTGTAAATGGTATTTGGGGGAATGGTGGACTCCCTCTGTCTGTCCATATGATTCACTGCACTACCTGGAGGAATGATGCATCTACAAAGCTGCATCCCAGTTAAAGGCAGGGTTGGTAATCTTGAGAAACCAGAAAGACGCTAGATTTCAAAAATCATTCAACCTAAAAAGCCAGCCCAGTGTTGCCAACCCTTTTCTAATGAAAGTAGCTAGCAGCGCTAACTACAAAAGTTGCTAAATCAAGCGGAAAACAATCGGCAACAATGACAGCCCGTCCCTTCAGGTCTTCTTCCAAAGCCACTCCCCCAAAATGATCATAATGACTGTAAACAATAAACATGGCTGTTGTTAGTATCCACAGCTGTTAAGATCATTACATTTTGGCTGAATGAAGTGATCGGACGGGCTTATCACAGTCCTTCAATAGCCACAGATACCGGTGTTTCTTTTCTTTCTTTTTTGTCAGATCATTTGATTCATTGATTTCTGATGTAGTGAGAATTTTAACAAAATATCAAAAATATTTCTGAAGAAGATTGCCAACCCTGCCTTTCAGGGACGGACTCCTCAGGAAGACACAACCAGTGTATTGAGTGAAACATTCAGGCAGTCCTTTTCACTGGTACATACTGTATGCTCATTACAGGACTGAAGTATGTTGAGTATTTGTTGTGTTTGTGTATCCAGAGCTTCCCACTGCAGAAGAGTTGATGAGACCCATCAGGCCAGAGAAGGACCATATCAGAGGCTTCACCCTCCAGCCTGTCAGGTTAGGACTGTAACATCTTACTCGGAATTATCCAAAATAACGACTTCACAAAACTGTTCTGTACATGTTATGAACATGTAGCAACAGAAGTATTGATGGTAGAGCATGCACATAAATAGAACTGTAATCCAGTTCAGACTAAGTCAACATCACTTTCAAATGAAGCTTTGAATGTTTGTCGTCATATTTTAAGACCCTAAAAAAAGAATCCTCAAATAGTTAGATTCAATTTGAATAAAGTGATTTATCGGATTGAATGAGCTTTTTTAATTTTTTATTTAATCAACTATCCTTAATTAATATAAGTCGTCAGTTTCGTTTCGTTGCTGCTGGACCGCCCCGTTAACACAGGTCGTCCTGTGTGTGGCGATCGGGAGAGCAAACTGTCTGACCGAAGTGAAGGTAATGGTTTTGAAAGGCGAAACGGCAACAAATATGGAATGAAGCAGAATATTTATTGAGATTAAAGCATGTTGTGAGTTTTTGAATTGATTTCCCTCTGGAGTTATTGGAAATGTCCGGCTAACAAGAGTGTAAAACAATCCTACGCAGGCGCTGTGAGCAACACACAGATACATTCTAAGGAAGCGGGAGATAAGGCGTCGCTCCAACTTTTTATTTTTAATACGCTCTTCAAAAAATCCTTACGCTCCCTGCTCACTCGTGCTCGACTCCGCCCACATGCTCTCACAAATAGTCCTTTTTTTCCAGATCTGGACATAAAAAGGATCGATGGCAGTTATTGTTTGACTGAAGAAGATTCAATACTAATTTGTCCGGGATTATTTTGGTCGAAATACCTAATGATAAATAATAATAAGCCTAGATCAATAATAATTATGCCTAATAATAATAATAATAATAAGCCTAGATGAATACTAATAATACATAACAATAATAATAATAAGCCTACCTGTGAACAAACAGCCTTTTCTCTGCACCCAAATGCTAAGCCTGTGTGTTTGTGAGTTAATCAACATGCAATTAACCAGAATATCTATCATCTACAGTCTGAGGTATTTGTAGGATGACTCCTGTTCAACCGGAGATTGACGCAGGCAATATCCAACACTGTACCATAAACATCAGACACAGATCTAAGTCGTGCTTTATTTGACTTCCAAACCTGAATTTAGTTCTCAATAAGTCAAAACAGGAACACAAACTGTTTTTGAAAAAGTTTAGCAAGGTTTTCTGATTACAGTGCTGTAGTACTTGAGGACCGAGAAAAGACACCCCGCTTCTTCGAAAGGACTTTCCCAGACGTGACGTCTCCACAGTCCTACCTGGAGCGAGCAGAAGAGGCTGGCCCCGAAGCAGGGACCAGCCCCCCGCCCAGCTCCCCAGACCCTGCCAACCTGACGTGGAGCATCAGACAGGAAGTAGAGAAGCTGATGCAGGATCAGAACAAATGCTCTTCTTCCACCTCCTCTCAAGCTGGCAAAGCTAAGAAACAACAGGTGAGGAACACTTCACACTATTCTCCATCTCAGGAGTGCTTGGATTTGTAATCGTGTCAGACAGATCAGATCCAATAGAGCAAAGGCTAAGCTGTAGCAGTCTGTTGATACTGAAATAAAGTGTTTTCCCCAGGCTTCGCACGGATCCACAGTTCCTCATTCCTCTACATCCTTAGTGAGGAAACCCACGGTGGCCCCTGTGAGAGGCAGGAGAGTGGAGGGGAGAGCAGCAGGGACTTCCTGGTCCTCAGGGCTGAGTAGAGCTGCTGCAGCCAAAACCCAGCTTTCTGTTTCCCGTCCTGTGCAGCATCCACGAGATAAAGCCAAAATCACAAAGAGCCAAGAAAGAGAGGACTCAGGTTAATGATGGCACTCACACACAAAATATCAAGTCATTGAACTGCTCAGATGAGTTAGGATTAGGAGCTGTGTCTCTCGCTACAAAAGATATATACACATTTATCTTTCTTTGCTTTTAAATCCACTCAAACTCTTCTATCTTCCTCATGTTATTTATTGCCTTTGGAATTGATTTTCTAACCTTTCTGAGTCCCTTTGTGTCTTCACAATGCAGGAGCATGGCGTAGAGCTGTTTGCATCAATGTGTCAGTTGTGTGTTTGTACATAACGGAGGTGAATACCTTCTATGTATGTTTGTTTGATTAGCAGAGCCAGGTCTGAGGGTGAGCGGTGAGCTGGTGGCGTCTGTTCAGTCCTTAGTGGCTGTCCTCCAGCAGCAGATCGGCACCAGCAGCCACCAGGACGCCACCGACGCACAGGAAGTCACCAGACTGATACATCGTCTTCCAAACAACGTAGGGAAATACTACATCTCCAGTGTTCAAATGACATGCGTCATATAATGCTAACTCAGCACAGAGTTGAGCTCTTATTGATGATCCACGGGACTATGAATGCAATCCAGAAGAATTGGATCTATTGAAAACATGATAGAAATGATGAAAAGAGAACAAGTCGGCATGCTTTGTAGTCGGGGATCGATGTAGAGGGTCTGTAAATGAAGGAGAAGTGTTGTTCCTGTATTGCAGGACAGAGATACAGTTAGTTACTGTTATAGTGCTGTTTTACTCGGACAATAGGCTTTTAGTTGTCTGCATATCACTGTGGTATGCTGAGAAGATTCCAACACTTGATTGATTGTTTCTAAGGAAGTGTGCGGTCGCTGTTTGGAGAAGCACGAGTTGTCAGTGTGTGCAGATGGGATGCCAGTGAGGGATCATGTCAGTGTGGCTGCGCTAGTTAATCCTACTGGATGGCTGGCCAAAGTGTGAACCTCTGTGCATGTTAACAGCACATACCGTGTAACTCTATCGTGTTAGGGTTGGTTCTCCACAGTTCATGATGCATGAGATGTCACTGTTGATGTCTGACTTGCAGAGGGAGGAGGACGGCTCCTTGGTGGAGGAGCTGAGAGTCCAGCTGGCTCAGAAAGAGAGGGAGCTGCAGATGATGAAGGAAGGCAAAGAGGAGCTCCACTCACTCAGACAGCAGAACTACCTTCTGCAAAGCAAGGTGCTCAAACACTCGCGGCTCAGGCCCTTTCAGCATGAAACATTCCCACCATGCCTTGTAATCTTATTAATGGCTGGACACGCCTTTATTTGATTACATGCAAAAAGAAGGGTCTGCATATCTGTAGCAGCAACAACGATACAGCAATAAGTAGTAAATAAGTTGTGTTGTTGTTGTTTTTCACCTCAGCTGCGAAGTGCAGAAGAAGCCAGTCAGAAGAAGAGATGGGCCGAGGCCAGCGACTCTGCTGCAGAGGGAAAGCTCCGGCAGATTGATAAAGAAATAGAAGAGCAGGAGACGCTCATCAAAGGTTACCAGCAGGTTCGTCTCCCTCAATCTCTTGACGTGCTCGTCTTCACTGTTCATTCCTGTCAGGGATTAATCAATCTTTTTCTGATACACTGTAGTTCCAAGCTTGTCGACTCTGTTGTGCTTTTGTGTTTACAGAAATGTACTTGCTTTGTTAGGGTGCCGGGATGCCGACAGAAAGACCTAACTACCTTCAATGCTATCAAACAAAGAGAAATTCTCCCTCCTCCTTCTAAAATGGTTCCGAATAGATAATAGAGTGCATCCTTGTTTCATGAATGAGGTGGTACAAGAGTTGCAGCAGCAGCGCTGTGTGTGTCTGACTAGTCAGCGACGGTCATCCCTGAAAGGTCCTGTACTTTCAGAAAGTACTATCCCTGACCACAGACTGTTTGGGGGTAAATGACCCAGGAACTTAAGTTAGACCCTGATCCTTGCAGTCAAAACACTATGAGTTCCTCCAAAGGTTCCTGGGAAAGTTCTATTTTCTGCTGACTACAGAGTAAACGATGAAGTGTATGTTGTACAGGGACTAGTGAATCTGTGAGTGAGGGAGGGATTTTGGTCACAGCCTAAGTTACCTTGTTGGGCTCCTGGAATGCTCACCTGCACATACAGTCTAACTGAGATAATGTCACATTCCATCGAGGTAAAACTCAGTAGTCTTACTTCATTCATTCTTTAAATGAAGCAGGCTCGTGTCTCAATTGCATGATGTGTAGTTGTTTTTGTGTTCCTTTTCTGCCTCTTGTACGTAGTTTGAATAGTTGTTCTTATTCGAGTGCAGTCAAACTAAGGTTTCTTTTGCAGGAGAATGAGAAGCTGTGTTTGCAGATGAAGGCTCAGCAGGTTCAGAGTAAGGCCAACGAGGAGGCCATGTTTAATGAGAACCAGAGGCTGCTGAATGAGCTGGCTTTCACAAGGTGGGTTCAGTAAAGGTGTGTCTATCAGAGGGGCCGACAGGTGAACAGGTGTTTGCTTGTAAATATCTTCCCAGTATGAATGTCTATTTAAAATTGTCAAAAATGCCTACTTTAGAAAATTCACATGATTTCCTTTTGATATGTATGTATACATTTCTTTCAGAAAATGTATTGTTAAATGTTTCTATTCTTCACCAGGGAGCAGCTGAATAAAGCCTCAAGGACTGTGGGAAGTGGGTGCTTAATGGATCACACTCAACGCATTACAGACTTGTTAGCTCAGCTGAATACATTCCAGGTACGTACCACAGTCACTGACACGCTTCACCTGTTCTATTCTCCAGCCCACACTGAGAATTCACTACATCTACATATACACATTGAGATATTCTAAACTGCCAACAGTAAATGAGCGACGACAGCCCATCATTGTCTTTCCTGTGCTTACCGGACAATGTGTGGAGATTGCAATTTCATCCATAGAACCAGCACCTTCAAGGGTTCCTTCATTCATCATCACCGAGGGCTTGAGTTCAGTATTCAGTAAACCAGTTAGATGTGTTTCTGTTTGCAGAGGAATGAGGCCAAGCTGTCTGAGGACTTCCACATACTGAAGCAAGGAAAGCAGGCTCTGGAGGTAGACCTGCAGCTGAAGAAGAAAGAGAGGGACCTAGCTAAAGCTTGGGCCGTGTCTGCCTCAGGTAAACTGGATTCACAACAGTGCCAGTGGTAAAATTGAAATCCAAAGACCAAGCTTCTGACAGACTTTTATACAAAAAACAGTGTAAGTGATCTTTGGTCTTACTGACGACGTGTCTCCATATTCTGAATGTGTCAGGTGACAAGACTTTTGAGATGCGCGTATTGGAGGACAAGCACAGAGAAGAAGTGGCGGCCCTGAAGAAGAAGCTGCAGTGGTTTGCTGAGAACCAGGAGCTGCTGGACAGAGATGCTGGCAGACTGAAGGCTGCTACAGCTGAGATACACCAGCTCCAAGAGCAGGTGAGGCTCACTTACCTCTTATCCATGTGTCCTTGGGCAAGACACTTAACTCCAAACTGCTTTGCTTCAGTGTATGAATGGGTGTGAATGGGTGAATAACAATGTTTAGTGTTTAGTGGTCTGAAGACTAGAAAAGTGCGATACAAGTGCAGTCCATTTCCCATTAACCTTCAATATCTATTCATAGTAGATACGACGATACAAAGTCCTCCTCCTCTTATGTTCTGCTCCTCTTATGTTCTCCTTCCATCACTCTCCATCTCTAGTCCAAACCATAGTTATGTATGTACCTACGCCCCTGAGAGAGGATTTCTTTGTGTATGTCTTGCTAGGTGGACATGACCCAGCGGGAGTGAGCATGGTGGAGCTTTCTATTTTGGCAAAATAATACAAAAATCTCTTGAAAAAGACCTAAAGAACTGTTGTCCTAAAGAACACCACAGACCGGCAGCAGAAATGAGTCTTTAAAGTGTAACAATGCTGGATAGTTAGTGTTGTAGTAGCTGTACAGTATGCACGATTTCAAATGACTAAATAAAACAGAATGAATAGTTTTTCATTGTGACATGAATTTTTCATGCCACATTCAAATCACAACACGGAAAACAAAGTGAAGAGGTGAGATGCATTTAGTGTCATCCAGCAGAGACATTCAAATACTAAACGCAAACTCAGGAGTTTTCATGAGGCGCAAGGGAGCATTTTCTTTTTGGAGTGGAAGACGCATCGTCCATGCCGAAAGGAAAACTAGCAACGGTCCAAAACCAGCTGAGGAGGCAGAACCATGAGTTTCATCTCATCATCGCTGACAGCTAATGGCAGCATTAAAACAGTATGTTGGAAATATAATACAACAATGTGTATTTCTCATCTGCTACACTAATATTTAGTGTGTCTACTGTGTGGTCATCAACTTGAGTTCTTGCAGCATCAGCAAGGGCTGAACAATTAATCAGAATTATTTGAAATCACACTATGGCCTGCAACAATTTTCTAATTCTAGGAGGTGATTTGTGAAATACCATTTTGCCAAACATAAATACTGTGGTGCAGCAGAGATTCCTGGTCTACACATCATATTCTACAGACTGAAGAAAACATCTTTATTTTTGTAAAGATCACACCACAAGTATTTCATGTTTTTAATGAAAATGAGCATAATGATTTAAAAATCATTATTCCCTCAAATATCCAAAATCCTATCACATCAGTAAAATAATTGCAATTAGATGTGTTTATTTTTGAATGGTTCAGCCCTCGGATCCGCTATGACGTGTGACAGAAAGCCGGTTTAATGCTGCTTACTGTGTTGGAACTGACAGCTTTCCGTCTCCGTTTCAGGTAGAGAGGCTGAAACTGGATGTGGCCAAAAGAAGCAGTGAGCAGCAGATGAAGAGCAAAGAGAAAACAGTGCACACTAAGAGGATGCAGGACCTTGAGCGACAGGTCTCTCACACAAGCAAACAAGCTAACTAAACACACTTGTTACACCCTCTTCCCCTTCCCCTTCCCTCTGCAGTTTATGTCCCTTCATTCAGTCTTTCTCTCTCCACCAGGTGAAGGAGCTGGAGCAGATACTAAGACGCAGGAACCCAAACTCGCTGCCCGCTCTGATCTACGCTGCGGCCGCGGCCGGCTGTCAAGAGGACGTGGCCTCCGAGACGTCCCCTCCACCCAGCAGGATCAGCACCCTGCTGGAGCGCAGGATCCAGCGTCTGGAGACGGAGCTGGAGGGTCACGATGAGGAGGCCAAGCGCGGCCTGCGTGCCATGGAACAACAGTTCCACAGGATCAAGGTACAGCTAAAGGCAATACAGATGTAACAACTGCTGTGTGATGTAGTCACCTCTCAGTGTCAACAATTTAAATGACATTGTCAGATCAGTATCACATTATTGTTAAAGCAGCACATTGTACACTGCAAACATGCTCAGTGATGATGTAGGAACCATGAGTTACAATCTAACCACCAGGTCTGTGTTGATCATACTTAAAGCTGGAGAGCAGAACTTTAACTTATGTTCAGGTCGAACAAGGCCGCACAGGGCTGATTAAGCCTATTGACTGCAGGAAAGCTCTCTGTGTTTTGCAGTATAAGAGAGTTGTGGTGTCTGTGGCGACTTTGCCCAGCTGGCGCACCTGAAACGTGCATTTTATGTCAACCAGCCTGAGCGAAAGGTGATAGGAAGGAGGGAGAGACCCTTTTAGAGACGGGGCAGCAGCTCAGAATATGGCCCAAGCTCTGGTTGGAAATCCTAAGAAGCATCCAAGAAGGTATCTGGAGTGGATGCTCCAGATAGATATAGAAACTTTGACGTTCAAAGGAAGGACATTAAAGGACAAAAAAAGAAAGTGATCCACAGTGAGGACACTTCTGGGGGGATGTGGCGAGTTCCCCTGCAGGCATATGTCTTAAGCACGAGCCTCCGCTGTTGGCGCTCGAGCTTCGAGCACTCACAAAGGTGTTGATGCTCAACGCGCTGTTCGTTCCATTGCAAACAGAATGTCCTGTGAAAAAGCAAGATAAGTCGACAGTCGGTGTAACCGGCAAAACCCCACGAGTCAACCTCCACTATGACGAGGAGGAACTGTAACTATCTGTAAACTCATATCTCATATTCATGGACTAAAGAAATGAAGGTTGAATATTCTGTAAACAATTCGATTCGGCTGCAAAATATTTACTGGAATTTAGATTTTTAAGACCTCCATAAAAAACAAATTGGTCTTCTATGGAAAATCTTCAGACATCTTTCTGTTGCTTTTGTCAGTGAACTATTTGTGACGTCGCGCACGCCAAGTCACAAAAATTCAGAGGTGCGTGACCAAGCTCCCCGACCTCTTGCAGATCCTTTGCGCAGGACGCACAGGAAGTCATTACGTAATTTTCTGGCGCACGCCTCGTACAGGCTTCACTACGGCGAAGCCTCGTACAGGCTTCACTACGGCGAATATAAACCAAGCTTAAAGCAGTGTCGGCAGTTTTAGTGTAATTACTCTCACTGCCAGCGGGGGGAGACAAAGGATTCGCACTTAAGCGAGACGTTTCTGCTGCTGTTAGATGAGGAATACCACAGAATACATGTAATAAGATGGATTTATAACCACACTGACCAGTGCAGACGATGAATGGGCAGCCATTTAGCTTTAGCTGGACCACCTATATACATTACATCTGTAACGCTTCTCCCCGCACATAACAATGTTTGTCTGCACGGCCCCTTAAATATACTATGGGAAGAGACTGCCACCTAAATCAATGCCAGCTTTATTTTTGTTTGTTTTCATGTCTGAGGAATAAAAAAGGAAAAGTGGTGGATCCTATCGGATGCTCAAATGCAAAAAAACTGTCTAATCTACACTATTCTGAATTAAACGTTACATATTAACACAGAAAATATATAAATAAATAGTATGTCTTGTATACAAATGTATATATCTAATCAATAAAAATGTCTTTGGTTTTAACAGTCAAGTGCTAAAGTTGATCTCTAGCACCAGGATTTTGTTAGGTAGTGAGAGGGGACATGATCACAGGATTTTAATTATTATCAGATTGATGTACACCAAGGACAAACACATTGTCATATACGGCAACAAACGAGCAAAACAAACTGATTTATGAAAGCATTCAAATTGTGCGCACCGTTTAGCTCCGCTACGAGCAGCAGATCTCCGAGCTGGAGCAGCAGCTGGAACAGAAGCAGCAGCTGGAGCCCGAGACGGCTCGGGCTGGAACACTGGAGGAAGAGCTGCAGCGTGTGGCGGAAAGCCATCAGGAGAGAGAGAAATCTCTGCAGGACCAGATCCAGTGTCTCCAGCAGCAGCTCAAACACACGGTTGGTGCAGGAGCATCCCAGGTCATTAACACGCAAGAACACCTTCCTCAGCTTTCACTGATTCAACACAACTCACAGAAATGGGAGATTCTTTGCCGACTATGTAAGATGTTGGTCTTAATGTGATGATTATGAAAACCTAGGGGCTGAAAATCTAATCTTACTTCCTTCCACAGGCCCAACCCAGTCCAGGCCGACACCAGCGCCAAGCCGAGGCAGCGTTTGGCGCCCGGATAGAGCGTCTGAACCAAGACCTGGCCTCAAAGACGCGGACCATTCAGGACCTCTGCCGCACTGTGGAGAGACTGCAGAAGGAGAGGAGGAACGTGATGTCTGTCCCCAACCCACGAGCAGAACCCCGTCCTACAGAGACGAAGAGACAGCCAGCCTCAGCCAAAACTACTGCAGGAGGAGAAGAAACGTTTCCAGCTGCTCACTGTGAGAAGACCTACCAGCCCACTGTCTTCACAGGTATGGATGTGGACGTTTGGCAGCAGGATGTCCATTCATGTCTGATAATGGACACCTACAAAGTAGTTCCAGTTGAACTGTCCGTTCACGGTTCTGAATTAATGCGCTGGCTAAATTAAGTACAAAAACTATAGTTGAATGTCATGAGTGTTGTCCTTCAGTGCCTCATCCTCTGAACACCACAGGGAGGCTGTAACACACAAGCTGCAAAGAGTACCCGTCTCTCTTAACCTAATGATATATGGAGCAATAGCGAGCTAGTCTTGTTGTTGAACTGTCAAATTATATTTACTGTTTGTTTGTCAGCAGTACCGTGTTGTTGACTTTGAATCTTATTAGCATAATGTTATCTTGTATCTGAGGTGCGTCCTATTTACTGGAGTAGTGAACAACGTTTCCATCCCATTAGTACCTGAGGGGATGCTAATGATTGTTCCAGGTATTAGCAAACCCTCAGGTGCTACCAGGGAGATGCAGAACACATGGGGGGAAAAATGGTCTTATTTTTTGTCTTTGACAAGTGTTAAAGGATAGATTCACTTTCTTAGGGTCCATCTTAAGACAATACTTGTCAAAGCTGAATTGCTTCCTCCTGTCATGAAGAAATCCCTTCCTACACTGAGTTCCATGTAAACAAATAGATACAAAATCCATAGTTTTAGTTCTGACCAAAATACACTCTACAGTTGAGAAGCTTCAGAAGTCTGGGTTGGTGAACTGAAGTCTTCCCTCGTACTGTTTCCTCACTGAGGCGTGGTGGAGGGGCAGCACTTACCAGAGTAACGTTGGAAGTTTGGAACTTGATGTGTTGAACGCCGACTGCTGAAGCCTAATAATACTCATTTAAGATGAATTGAAGAATGCATTTGTGTACAAAGCAAAGACTATAGATTTTGGAATCCTATTAGGAGAGGATCTCCTGACGGTCAGTATGGACAGAAGGAACCTTTTCAGTGCACACATGTGCATGAGAGGGTTGTTTTAATACGAGAAGAAAAAAGAAGTGGACTTGTCTTTGTCATGATGGTGCAACAACATACACTCGTTATCACAATCATTACTTCTGATGCTATGTAAAGTTAAATGTTAGTTGTCTGGTGCTGCACGAGTTTAATGCTACGCCTGAGGGAGCCTCAGGTACGCTCACAGTTAGCTGAGCATTTGAACACTCCCATCTTATTTTGGCTGCACGTCTTTGACAGGCAGTCACATCTCGGAGGTTCTGCAGGAGAACGAGGCTCTGAAGCAGCGTGTGGAGCGGCTGCAGCTGCACAGTGAGCATGAGAGGGAGGCGTTAAGGTCGGACGCTGAACGAGCCAAGGAGGAGCTGTGCAGGTGCGTATCAGTACGAGCACATCAGCTGAGGTTTCCTGCAGAGCACAGATGCGATCAGACGGCTGACGTGAATGTGATCTGTTAGGCTGAAGGGGCACTCTGCAGAGCGGCTGTCCTCCATGAGAGCAGAGCACCTCAGGGTGCTGGACCAGCTGCGTGCCACCCATGCCCTGGAACACTCGTCCTCTAAGGTCGCTGAGCTGGCCAATAAGCTCAACACTCAGGAGGTACGGGCTCACTCACTGGTCACAACATCGTGAAATGACGCTGTCGCGTTAACCATCATGTTTACCTGCAGATAACGGTGAAACATTTGCAAGAGCAGCTGAAAGAGGTGCAGGGAGCTAAAGATGCTCTGGCAATATCCAGGACCCGAGAGGACGCTCTGCAGAAGCAGGTGATGCTAGAAACAGTTCATCTGTTATTCATTTATTAGAATATAATGTTGGGACGATTTCACTTATTGTTTATCTTCTGGATTATTTTGTATTTGAGATTTTTTTTCATTATTATTTTGATTTCCCACCTTGACTCCAGTGGTGACCAAACCATGCAGTAGCTCTTAAATGCACAAATACATCATTTAAATATATGATACACATCGGAATGCTCTCACAAAATGAAAACACTATATGCAACATGCTTCAATGGAAGTAGATGAAGGCAAAGAAACATGAAATGTGAGGGAATGTGGATCTTACCAGCATCTTTTTAGCAGCTGTAACATTAGCTAGCAATATTATATTCATCCACGTTGGGAGATCTAAAGAAGAATCGCTATTGAGAATCAATAGTTTGGGACGATTAGTCATTTAGGGCTTCCAAAATGCAGAAATGAGTGAGTGAGTTGCAATGCACAGATGTGCTTGGCATCCCTATTGAATGGTGAAATGGCACAGAACTTGTTCTGGGTTGGACTTTTTTCCAACAGCATATCTTTTGAGAGTAGCAGAGAGCTCCCTTCCATTGATATGTAAATTTATATTTCAAGATGTTTCCCTACTTGATCATCACATTTCATTAGAACCAAGATAAGAAGTGGACTCTTTTGTTTCGTGTTTCTTCTCATCATGTTAACATCAAGTCTCTGTCTTGTGTGTAGCTGACCAGACTTCTGAAGGAGCTGAAGGAAGCTAAAGAAGCTCAGAGCCCAGAGGTGAAGCTCCTGTGTGGCCTGGAGAGGAAGATCCTCAACATGGAGCTCAGACACCAACACAGAGAGAAAGAGCTGCAGCAGGTACACATGATGGCACAGTGATTATGTAGAACGTTGGAATGACTTTTCCTGTGGTTAGCTGCTTACTCATAAGAAGGCTCTCACATGCCTCTTGGTGAACTCCAAATGTGTTTTTATTTCCATTTAATCATGAGACTTCTGAAGGTCATTGATGTCACCAGATCTTATTTAGAGGCTTCATAGCAAAGGGGGTGAATACATATGTATGCACCACTTTTCTGTTTTTTATTTTCATTTCACCGATGTTGACTAATCTGTGTAGGTCCATTACCTAAAATCCAAATATCCATCTCTTTTTTTATTCAGGGTTGTGATGAAACAAAATAGGAAAAACAGCAAATGAGGTGAAGACTTTTGTAGGGCACTGTATACGTCATTATCATTCAATGAACAGAAGGGTTTCGACAGAACAGAGCAGAAAGAGAGTTCACAAGACCGGCTGTAGACCATCTGAGCCGGAGCCGGGTGAATCCTTCAGGACAGGTTGCTCCATACCATCAATCATCAGCAGCATGCTGAGGATGAGGAAGTGACCGTGAAGAAATCATTTCTGAGCTGTTCTTTTCATCAAGAGAATATAAATCTTGCAGTGTTTGGTCGTACTGCCCCGCCTCTGTCCTCTGTTATTAATTACAAACCAGCTGTTGCACCAACCCAAAAATAGCTAGAGTTGGATTTATTATATTCATGAACTCTGTTCAAAATGAGAAGCTCAGTGGAGACAAAAGCTCCACTAAAGTTCCTGTGCTGAGAAAGTCCCAACAAGTATGTTTGATGCATCATCGGTGACGTAGATGACTTACATAGAGACAGTATCAGAGATGGACAATGTATCGTGAGGCGGCTCATGATTTTCACTCCCACTAGCCAACACGTTTGAAGACTCTGGAGAATATAGTGAACAAAGTTACTCCTCCCCCCCCCTGCAGGTGATCGGGGGCTCACTACAGACGTTAGAGGCCGGTCAGCAGTCAGAGGTGGAGAGCTGGAAGCGTCTGGCTCAGGACAAGAGCAGAGAGTTGGAGGCCTTCCGTCTGGAGCTAGACTCCATCCTGGACATCCTGAGACATCTCCAAAGACAGGGAGTGGTTCTCCCCCACTCCTGACCCCCCCTAGGTCCTGGTCCACATCAGCAGCTGCTACTTATTATTAAAACATACAAATAGAAATAAAGCTTCAATATACTCAGAGAGGTTGTTGGGTGTCAGAAACAGAAACATTTAAAGCCATGAGTGTGTAAACAATAGAACACGCATACTGTACCTCTTTCTGATTTTTGTGTATATTTTGTAGCTGTTATCTATTTTTAATTAAAATTATTGTAAGTTATTTATGATGAAGTGAAAATAAAAGTTGTTTTTTTCAAGTCTAAGAAATCTTATTTGTTTGATAGAAGTTTTTCCGTCAGCCTTGGGGACTCTGTCTCCTCCCCAGGGCACCTCCCATGTTGAGTTCCTCAGAATTCTATTCTTGGGCCAATCCTGTTTTCACAATGGAAACTCTTTAAAGCCATTGTTAGAGTTCATCACATTGTACTATGCTGAGGCGCGTGTGTCCTGGGAGGCGCGCTATGCTGAACTAGTTCAGCAGGAAATCCAACAGCAGCACACACGCTACAGACTCCCCGCAGCGTTTAGCTTTGTAAAAGAAAACAACAGCCCAAACAGAGAATCAAATGTCCGACCCTAACCCCGCGCATGGCGGGGTTAACGGACAATGCATATACTGTAGTCAAAATCAATGTAATTAACACAATAACAAGAACCAGTCACATATATTTATATGACAACAAAGCAACAAATCAATCCAGCAGCATTGTGGTGCAAAAACACATATTCCACTGCACACTGAAGAACACGAGCCATTCAAATATTATTCACATCAGAGGGAACAATATTAACCATGGGTCAGAGTTTCCGTACAGGTGTGAACATTCTCCTGTCAAGTTTGTTTTTATAGATCACAACGATGTGTCGTACGCCTCTTTCAGACCCCTCTTTGTGTGTACGCAGCGTTATAAATCAGACCCCAGGTCTTGAGTCGTGCTTTTGAGTCCTTGCCTCAGTGGTGGCTTCGGCCTTAACAAATTCTTGATTATATCATTTTACCTTTACCTCATTACCAATTATTTTCCTCGTGAATTATCAACTGAAAGTTTAAATCCCCATTTATATGCCCACTCTTCTATTTTCATAATCCCATCCTGCAGTTTCTTTTTGGCCTTGGGACCAGGGGCGTCGTTAGGCCTATTTTAGGGGAGCTGAAGCCCCCCTAAAATGTTCTTCAGCCCCCCAAATAATTTGGCATTATTGGATAAAAAACTTTTTTTTTTTGGTGATGTCATTAAATTAAACTATTGTTTCTCACATGGACAAGTTATTTATAACTCTAACATGCTACATATGTGTGTGCGTTCTGGTTTGTATGTTTTCTCCCCCTTCAAATTACAATCCAACAGCCTATCATCATACTTAACGATATAAAGTTGACACTGTCAGGTCCATTCTCCATCCATTGTGTGCGGTCCCTTTAAGAATTAGGATTTAGGAGTGACGCGGATATGAAAGCTAGTTTATCCGTCTTTCCTTTACAAGCAGGAAAATTATTTCTCTCTTTATTTCAGAAAAGTTCATATTTGTGTTGTCAAATTTCACTATGACCCTGAAATTCTGTCTCTTGTGTTATCATATACTCAATGCAAGCAAAACTACAAAGCAAAATCACACTCTTTCTGATTGAACCAATCTATGAACTGTCTGAAACAATGGATATCCAAAAAAAATTGCGGCGCACGCAAACATGCCACTCCCCTTGGGGCTAAGCCCCCCCCCCTTTCTTTGAATCCTAGAAACGCCCCTGCTTGGGACCATATGATCTGACAAAACAAGCAACTTCAAGATGTCACCTGGATTCTAAGAAATGTTGATGGGCAATTTCTAACTATTTCTGGAGATGATAATGAAAATTAGTCGTTGCAGTGATACAATATATTGGAGATAACATACACACATTGTTCAATATCTAATTTAAAGCAGTTAATAATGGAATGGATAGCATTGATTTTACATCATAAATGAGAGAATAGAATGTGGTGATGCCTAAACATTTTCACGTTATAAGCCATGTCAACACAAATTTATCATCGGGGTTTTATTTTGAAAGCGGAAGTCGCATTTTCCCCTCCCGTTAACTTGACGCCGCTCCGTTCCGTTAAGCTGCTCGCGGTGATAAGTAACGGACAGGTCAGAGGTGGTTAGATCCCGTTCGTCGTTAACGAGGACCGACGCTCAGCGGACGTTAACAGGACAGCGCGCGCTCTTTTCGTCCTTAAACGCCGACGTCGTCGCTACATGCTCGCGCGGTTGTGAGCAGACAAGCAGAAAAGATGATGATCTCCCCGTGGGACCGCTGGTTCTCCACAAGCTGCTGTCTGTGCTGCCATGTCCGCACAGGAACCATCATCCTGGGGGTCTGGTACATGGTAAGCGCCGCCTGTCGTCATGTCACTCACTGCTGCTACGGAGACATCCAGAAACCCTGAGGCGAGACATGACTTCATCACAAAGCGTTCACAATGTGTGCAGCACTATCATTATGCGGGCTTCTCCCAATATAAAGCACACATTTGTACTCAGAAAAGGTTTGAATTATTATTCTTTTTGAACAAATCTTGAATCTGCATAATTCTGGTATACTTTTAGTGACAGAGGCATACAGAGGCCTATAAAGGAGGGTTCTGTATAGATATATAATAATAATAATAATAATAATATATATATTAGTCACTTCATTTCAGGTGGGTTTATCCTTCTCTGCATCATTTATGTTATACATGGTTATTCTTACAATTGGGAACCTTTAGAAATAAGTCATAATGTGGTATTTCCTCTCTTGATTGTATCCCTTTGTTAAACTGAATGTTCAAATGAGAGGGTTACCTGAACCAAACACCACATGTGGAAATATCCTGCCTCGCTGCTATGAATAAATCAGCGTTTGGCCTCTTCAGGTAGCAGGTTTCGTGTCAGGCCTATTGACTGCCGAGAATTTTCCATTGCACTCACCTGATCAATGGGGATGTATGAGTCATCTGCATAATGAGCTGCGCCACCCCAATACAAAGGCGTATGAATGTGGCTGGACTTAGAGCTGTTGCTGCAGACGTGTCGTTTAACACACCTCTCGGAGAAGGTCTTGGTATCATTATTTTTCTAAAGTCTCTGTGTTGTGAAATATTTACGTGTCAGAATAAACGCAAATATTTAAAAAAATGTGTGCGTGTCTGTCCATGTTGCCTTTAATCTACCCGCATGTGCTCTGTCCCTAAGCTCATCAATGCCGTGGTGTTGCTCATCCTGCTGACAGCGCTCAGCGATCCTGAGCAGTACCACCTGACCAGCGCTGAGCTGGCTAATGACCTGGATGTCATGGATGACGCCAGTAAGTAGCCCAGAGGGCCAGTAAATGTACTCTGTGTATCTCACAATACCACTATCGGCTGGGTACTTATTTTTCTAGCATTCTAACATCTTAACAGTTTCCGTTTCATATAATTACATTTGCTCAGGTAAGCGGCTTGTTTGCATTCTGTAAGAAACCTGTGCGGTGTTTGTGTTCTTCCTGAAACTAAATCTCCTACACCTGACCGTGACCGATGACTTGATCTCCACGTCAGTCAGCACTCCTTCTTTTTAATCCAAACGCCCAAAGCCACAGACATGTCCAATGTCCATCTGTGCAGAGCATTTGAACAGCCATGCTTAACGGACCAGGTGCCCACTGGAACTGTTCCAGTCTGACTGGAGGTGGGCCGCAGCACACGCTGCTGTTGTCCTCTGATTGGGAACGACTGTGCTGTCCCAGTTCTGAGGGATTAGAGTGTCCGCCTGTCCGTAGGGACAAGAACGCTATGATACTCCTCAGATATTTTAAGGTTGTTGAATATTCTGATTTGACAGACAACAAGCTGTAGCGACAGTTGTTTGTTTTTTTATGTTTCTCTGAATGTTTGACCCTCTGTCACTCCATACGGGTTGAAAATATGCCACTAATCCCGCTGAATAATAAATCGCATAGTCAACACATTTTTTGGATGTTTTATTTTTAGCCAAAATAACTCGGCGTGTGTTTGATGCCGTGCTTTTCTTGAGTCCCCAGTCATTCTTTTTGGGGCATTGGCTCAAACATATAGTTCAATACAGCATCAAAGCCAACACAGCAGCCAGTTAGAGCATCACATTTTCAGAATAGGACATAAAGCTGTGAGACAGACAAGAGAGATAAGCCCACCAGGCAATGAACAGGACGACTCTGCTGTTCCTGTGTTATCATATTCCTCTGCTATTTTGTTGTTGATGTTGAACACTGAAGGGACAAAATGTAGGATTTCTCACTCCACGGCACACTCTTTTTTTTTTTTTTTTGCATATATGTGACTCAGATGTTTGTTTGTTTTTTCATAACCATGTGAACAGCTCAAATCATTATGGAATCTGATCTTTTCAATTCAGACAAGTGGTCCTTAACCCTCTGAACCCCAAGTCTGTGGCATTGGTTTTCACATTTGTATAGAAGTCCTGCACCTCTATGGAAACACAGCCATGGCTAGAAGTAGAGAGAACTAGAGATACAAATGTAGTTTGTGCAGTATAACACAGTTACATCGCCATAAATCATACAAAAGAAAACATAAGTTGTATTCCTTTGATCATTTATTTACAAAAATTGTCAAACAATTTATGTATACAACTTGTTTCCAAGTGTTACCAATGTTGGAACAAATGGAGGCTCTACGTGCTTCATACGTTGAACTATTTACATTTGTACAACCTCTACTTGCAGCCTCTCCTCAATGCACTGTGTTCAGAAGTCTGCAGTTCAGTCCAAGTTTCACGGAATTTTTGTCAAGTGACTGCTGGTCTCAGTCAAATCAATCATGGCTTCCTAGTTGCGCTGACGAGCTCAGAATTGAATGTTTTTTACAATATTTGGTTACTTTAAACGGTTTATTCGGTGGCGAGACTTTAAATGAGACATGTAGAATCAAATGTTTTTGATGAAATGTCACAGTTTTGAGCTTAGTTTCGGTTGCTTTTTGTGACGGAAGCGTTCGTCACACGTGATGTGTTCAGTGAAATGGAACCCAGTGGAGCATCTAGCAGCTGAAGAGACTGTCAGCAGTGGGAGGAGACCAAACACAGAGCCAAAAGGAGAGTGAATATTGGACTCATCCATATCAACTTGATGTGACTGTATGTCAGTGGCAAAAAAAAAAGAAAATCTCATTCAATCTCAGCTTTTTGACCGACTGTTTAAGCTGGCCACAGTTTATTCTATTGATGGCGTTTTAGATCATTGGTTTGGAATATTCCAGATGTCTGATTCTGTCTGCCCTGTTGGCGCGTAGAGCTTAATGCCTTGTCTGGTTGACAGATGCAGCTCACCATTTATCTCCTGCACAGAATTAGTTTTCAGCTGAACACGACGTTGTGAACATTTTCGCAAATTTGTTTTTGAAATCCAAATGGCGTGGCTGAGCCAGAGTGACCTCACGCTGACGTGTAACCGCTGCTCTCTCTGCCTCAGACATGTGCATCGCCTCCGCCATCTCTCTGCTGATGATACTGATCTGCGGGATGGCAACATATGGTGCATACAAGGTAAACTCATGATTCCTAAGGTTATACTCCATTTCCATAACATAAACCGTTTTAAACAGTATATTAATGTTGCCAGGCTACTGCTCTAAACACTTCTACTACATCTATTTTTGAAGTCTTTGAAAATAGAACTAATCCAGATTCCATCCCTACCCTTTTGTATTATTTGTGAACACACTTCACGCTGTGATTTATGTCCACAGAGCTCCGCTTGTTTCTCTGCTGCTATAAATACATCACCATAACTATACCTAAACAAAAGACATATCTCTGTTTCAGCTGCGCGCCGCCTGGATCGTCCCGTTTTTCTGCTACCAAATATTTGACTTTGCTCTCAACGCCCTGGTGGCTGTCAGCATCGTGGTTTACCCGAACACCATACAGGATTACCTGCAGCAGCTGGTGAGGAACCTCAAGTGTTGAGGACAGAAATAGTTCGCTATACAGCTACTGATGCCTCTACTGTCCAGCGACTGGTACTGCCTTAACCTCTAATGAACCGTCTGCTGCTTGTGTTTTTCCGGACTGCCGTGCAGCCTGATAACTTCCCCTACAAAGAGGAGATCGCTGCTCTCAGTAACGTGTGCTTGGTCCTCATCGTGCTGCTCTTCATCGGCTCTATTCTCGGGTTCAAGGTAAAGTTTTCAAACCTTTCCTTTACACGTCGTCTTCATGCAATTAGCAGCACTTATTGCCTGCCAGAAAAGATGTATGATGCAACATTGTTACACATGCACCTGGTTATTTGATGTAACTTTTTGTACAGGTGAGGCTTTACATAGGCCCCATGTATTCTTTACAAGGTTATTATCTTTTAGTTTTTGGAAAGAGTCGTGCATCTCACAGCAGCTGTCCAGTAGGCCTTGTTCAGTCGATTTTTTTTACATTTGTAAATATTTTATAATAGTAAAAAGAAAAGCACTAACGGAGATGACAAGTGTCCCAGGCAGCCATGAGAGTGTGACAGCGAGCAGCTTGCACAATACTGAACAAAACTGAAGCAGCTAAATGTTATTATTTCCTACTGTGACATGTTGAAATGTGAAATACGCTGAAAGTAGAATGGGACCTACTGATACGTACTTTGTCGCTGTTGGGTTTCCCACTTCCGGGGAAGGATTTAATATCACAGCGACAGACGACTAGTCAGTCTCTTGTATCTCTTCAGCCATGCGGCATGGCTCCAGGGATGTCAGTTGATCCGCCTCTCGGGTGAGGCTGAAATATTTCAACAGCTGCTGGATGGATTGCCATGACATTTGGTACAGACACTCATGGTACCCATAGGATGAACCCTAATGACTTTGTCGGTCCACTGACTTGTCAGCCAATAGCAAGTACATGTTTTCACTTATCTGGTTTGCACAAAGCTTTGTACAGACATTCATGGTTCCCACATGATGAATCCTACTCAGCTGGATGATCCCCTGACTTTTCCTCCAGCGCCACTATGAGGGTGAATTTTAAGTGAAGTATCTTATTAGTATTGGATTCATTAGCATGAATACCATTGATTCCATTTATTGTGAGGAGGACATGAATGTAATAACTATAGTGATCCCCTGACTTTTCATCTAGCGCCATTATTTTTTAGGATGACATCTCTATAAGGTCCCAATGTTATATATGTATATGCATTTATGTGCATATATAGTGAAGCATGTGTACGGCTATACATATGTATTTATACGTCCGTCTGACTGTATGCATGTACACATTATTGATCTGTTCTGTGATGCTTTGTTTTAACAGTTACCTTATTGCTGTTATTGTCTTGTGAAGCACTTTGTAATACCTGGTTTAAAAAGTGCTATCTGATTAAATGTTTTATGATAAATGTATATTATTATCATTATCATAGGGTAAAATTTCTCAATTGGTCCAATACGTGAATTATGACCAAATACCTGCAAAACTAATTCCCGTCAGCCTAACACGCTGAACTAAGATGGTGAACATAGTAAGCATTAAACATTAGTATGTTAGCATGTTAGCATGCTGCTGGCATGGCTGTATACTGTGTGTCTTGTGAATATGGGGTTTGTGTTGTGTAGTTACAGACGATCCAGTAGAGCCGTCAGGTATGTTGTTGTGGTTATGATGCAGCTCTGCTGACAACCAAAAACACTTAAGTCTGAGATCAGAAGACAAACGGCTTATTTTAATAGCAGCAGTTATGGTTTGGAATGTGACCGATGGAGTCATTCTTAGATTGTATACGTCACTCCTCCACCTTAGTGACCCCCAGAATCTGTTCTGGCCGATGGAATAACTTGCTTTGCACAATCAGCAGCATTATGACCCCGTTTGCTCAGCAGAGTGGGAGCTAACTTAAATGATCTCTATGCAAATGGCTCTCCTCAGATTCCCGCGGAGGCTGTTCAAACCTCTGTGAGCATTGAAGCGGCTTCTTAATTGGGTTACTATAGAAGTTAGAGAGCTCTGTCCGCCTTTGGTTTGTGCCAGCGGATGGATTCAGCAGATGGTGTTGTGATTGGCCGGGAAGTTCCAGTAGCATTCCTAGATGACAGAGAACAACAGGAACTTGTTTTTGCTCCTCTGAAGTGATGTACTGAGCCTTCAGATAGAGTCTGAATTCAGAAAGTGGGTGAATGGATTGTTTTCTGTATTTTCTGTAATTTTTCTCTGTCGTTGAGATGTTCTCTGAATAACATACTACAGCCTCCGTGATGCGCATGTTATCGTGGGGCCATCTGTGTGTGTTCCTGTGCAGAATATATAGGACAGGAACATTACACTGACACCACAGCTTCTCTGGGGATGACATGACCTCATTATTTTACAGAGGAAAGTGGAAAAGCCGGTTTCCTGAAACTAAAAACTATAGCGTGCTCACAGTCGAAGACACATTCTCCATCTTAGCTTAGCGTGTTAGCATTCTAATTAGCTCAGAATAAAGCTGAGGCTGATGGGAATGTTATTGATTTTGTATCTATTGTGTCATGAACCAAAGAGTTGGACGTATTAGAGAGTTATTACAATGAATCCCAAGAAGGATATGAATGTCTGTACAAAATGTTATGGCAATCCATTCAATAGTTGTTGAGATGTTTGAGTCTTGACCAAAGTGGAGGTCAGACCAACACAGCTAGCGTGGCTAGCAACCATTTGTGTGTTGTCAAGAGAAGCTAAATATGTTTAACCAAAGCCTTTATCACGTACCATGACCCTAAGTAGTGTTTTAGATTTGTGCTAAATAAGGTGTTGCTGTAATGCAGTTGAAGCTTGTAATCTGCGATGGTGTTGTCTCTCTCTGTGTGATTTCAGGCCTACCTGATGGCGTGTGTGTGGAACTGCTACAGATATGTGAGCGGCCGCGGTGCCTCAGAAATCCTGCTCTATGTCACGACCAATGACACCACGGTAGGTCACCTCTGCTGCTTCATACCATCAGACCCATATCACCATGATGACTTCATAGTTTAAAATCAAGGTTCAAAAGATAAGAGTGGCGATGATATATCCAGTAGTGTTGTCATTGTCAACAGGTCCTGTGAAAAGAACAAAACCAACAGTGTGTGCCCCGAACTCATTTTACTGACATAACCAAGGCTCAGTCATTTCTTAAAACTGCTGAGCACTGTAGTTTTTTGCAACTTAAATCAAACGGGAAGAAAGTCTGGGACTGTTTTCAGCGGCAGATTCATTTATTAATTAATTTCTATCACCTTTTCCCCTGTCAGATCACCTGTATGAGTGTTCATAATGTTTTCTAATGAGGCGTTGCGTTCTACGGACAGATAATAAGTAATTCCTCATACGCAGTGTACAGCTGAACAAATACTTTAGTCAGCGTTAACTGTAAGAAATATTACCTCAATGGATTCAAATGTCTGGCTATCAAACCAAATGATTCACAAGTCAGCACACGTTGATCAAATGTAGAAGTGAAAAGTACATCCACTGTGTGCATGTGTGCAATATGTTACAATATGTCACCCTCTGCTCAGGCCAGTCTGTCAACTGTAAAGTCATCATGTCGGGGGAGGGAGGAAGTATCAAGATGGGCTGTAGTAGTGTGGATGATTGGACAGACTTGGACTGACGGATTGGGCTCCAAGCTGGCAAAGCCATTATAACGTTGGCGGAGGCACAGTGGTAGTACAGGAAGTGAGCTCTGGGTCGGTGTCCTGTTGCTCAGGCCTGGCCCCCTGACCGCTGTGACCCCGCTGCCCACACACTTATTATATCTACTTCTAATTTGACAGAAAGGAGAAGAAAAAAAGTAGGCTGTTTATTTCCTAACACCCGACTCACCTCAGCAGGTATATGGTTTTTCAATTAGAGCCTGACATATTCAATTCGAGCTCCCCACAGACCACAGGCAGGTTCGTGGCAGCTTGTATGGCTATACATCAGTAATGCAGCGGTCAGGTCAAAGGTCCACTAATGGGTTCCGTATGAGCCAAATTCCTTCACACATGCATTCTTTTATTTCACTCAGGGTTTTCAATTCTAACCAATGAAATGACGACTGACGCTAGCAGATTTCATCAGCTGTAGCTTGCTAATGCAAGCTAATGCTCATGCCAAAACTCCATGAGTTGGATGACTGGAAACTGTCTCTAGCTTAATTTCTTTATGTTTTCACCTGATTTGTTTTAAAAAACAAAGCTTGTGAAACGGTCTTAAATAAGCTCTTGATGTGTATCGATTAGTGCTGGGCAACGATTAAAATATTTAATCGCGATTAATCGGATGGATTTTTTGCGATTAATCGTGTTTGTCTGTGGAAATCGGAAATGGTCTCACGTTAATGTTTCCGCTAACTTTCAAAGTCCTTCGCTCGCTCCCGATCTGTGCCATTTAAATGTGTTTACCGTGAATTTCAGCATATAGGTGCACTAACATGTCAGTGTCTGCTGAGTTGACCACGGAGGTCATTTTTTTTTTCCCATCTTAAAAAAGGCTCAAGGACATACACACACCACACACACATACATACACAACTGACTATAGGATGTTTGCTGCCTTTAATCCCACTGTTCTTGTCATCCTCTTGTTGTTATGTCTATGTATTGTCTCTTGTCTTTCAATTAAAAGAAAAATTATAATAAATTTTAAAAATGCGTTAACGCGTGATAAAATAATTGTCGGCGTTAATTGATGAATGCGTTAATGCGAAATTAATGCGTTAACTTGCCCAGCACTAGTATCGATACATGATGTGGTGCTAGAGGAGTGATGCTAAAGCTACGTATCCCAGGTAAAGAGCTATAATTAGGTGAATAGTTGTTTGCTTGAATTACTGGCCACTATAGTTCAGGGCATTGATCCGTAGGAGAGGCTGTTAGAGGTTATTGATGACTGAATGCCCACGTCATCCTTTAACAGTTAGGATGGTTCACCTTCTCGAAGGAAAGAGTCCATCTCTATGGACTGAAACCTCCAATGACTCATTGCTTAAGACATGGCAGTCACAGGACAGACACATAGTCTTTTTGCATTGAGAGAGCCTACACTTCTGTTAGCCATGGTGTCAACAGCAAAACCAGAATGTTGAGTCACACCTCAGACGTTCTGCCTCCACAGTCTCAGCATTGCTTCTTCTACCTGAGAAAGAGAGGAGCAGAAAGCTTCTTGTCATAGCCCGTATTTAACAGTCCAAAACCCAAAGATTTTCAGTTTACTGTCAGACAACTTAGAAAGATGCGACCAGTACGTTTGGCTGTTTTCTTTTACTTACGACACAACTAAGCTATTAATCCATTATCAAAAAGAATGTTGCACAATAGATCTTATTTGGATCAATTAATCAATGTATTGACAAATGGTTCCAGCTCTAGTCGATCAACAGTAGTCTGCTCATCCACAAATGAAGCAAATATAGTCAAGCTGCTTTGTACCTCCCCTAGGTTATTGACATTTGCTTTGGCCTCTCCCCACTATGATCTCAATCTTACCATGTTAATGGAACAATCATTTTTACATAGAGCAAACAACACATTAGAATTTGGTGAACAATTTCCAAAACAGAAGAGCACACTAATGCTTCATCCACAAGTTGAACACGCACGCAGTTATGATGTAGAATAAATAAATGTCTCTTTAGAAAGATGATCTTTCACTGTTTCTCAAACCTGACAGAGTTCTATTGTGAAGTGGACAATAAATCTCCATTACCGAGGCATGATTGTTGTCCTCTGCATATGGCAAATGCACCTTTTATGATCTACGACGTTTACAAAGGCTTTTTTATAAATGTAACTAATATATGTAATATATACAATGCAAATAAGATACAAAGAAACAAAGACCTGCTATCTCAACAGTAAGACAACCCTACCTTCGGCAAAAGAGAAAATATATAATAATCTTTTGTGACACCACCCTAGCATGCAAGTTTGTTATTGTACTTAATTAAATGAATGTTTCCCATTTTATTCTATTTATTTCATGTAATGTAGTCTGTTGTTTTCATGGCGAAGTGCTTCCTGTCCACCAGTTTAATTCGCTCTGTGTTAAATGTGCCGTACAGTTATAGATGCCTTGCCTTACATACTGGATTGTACATTGTACATGTTATATCATGGAATTTGGTTTAAATCCTGTAGTTTAGCCTATTCAATAGGAAATCATCGCCATGTTTCTACAGTAGCCCAGAAGGGACAAACCAAACACTGTCTCTAGATAGGAGACATTCACGTTTTTGCGTTGACCATCGTCTTTCTCCTTCACACTTCGCCCACGGGAGAAGTTTCAGTTGGTTGCAAACTGCAAACCTCACCGCTAGATCCATCACACTGCCCCTTAAATCCAAAGGACCTTTCTACTGTTTCATTCTTGTGTTTGGTATTGCACGAAAGCTGGTGTCATATCATGTCACTTTAACAAAAAGCAATTGACAGAGTTGTCAGCATTTAGCACTGCTTAACACTATTCATTTTGAATTGTACCTCCTGTCTTGCAAAGTTCACTCATAACCAAAATCTTTTTTTCCTCCTCTTCGCGCTTCATCCCCAGGTGCTGCTGCCTCCGTATGATGACAGCGTCAGCGTCCCTCTCAAGCAGGCTCCTCCCCCCTACACCACTGCCACAGCATGAAAACATTCCCAGCATCCTGCTGACTGGACCCTGCTGTTAATATAACCCCACCCCACCAGCAAGATTTATGCACCACACTGCCTCTCCAGTGTACACAGACGACACAGACATTCCAGTACACCCATGCATGCACCGACGCATATAAAATTATCGTATGCCCATGCACACACCTGCCACCACCGTGACCTCTCATCCCTCCCCGTTATTTTATTGGCGAGCTCGTATTCTCTTCCATGCATCCGCTCTGTTTCTGTTTCCAGACGTGATGTGCATTTCAATGCATTTGAACCTGGGTGCATAAAGTGTTAGATTCTATATATTTGTATTAATCCTAGTCACGCTGCGTGTACCCGTAATAGTATTTTGTGTCCTATCTTTGATGGTCATATCTAACTTATGCACAAATGATCTTATTGCCCAGAGTGATGAGTGAACAGTGGTCGCGTGTTCCCCGTTCATCTCGTCTCTGCTTGTGATCAGGGTCGGATTGCCTTTATTCATAACTTTCTCTCTGATGGGGGGCCATTTATGGGGGTGAGCCATGTGTGAAGTGTCACCTTGACTGGAAGTTGTCCCAAAGAAATGCACCTGCCTGTATTCTGACATGATCACAAAGCAACCTACTGTATATCGAACATATCACCTTCTTTTACCGTTTTACCCAACTACAAACCCATTAGTCTTGTGCTGGTTGACCTTCATAACATTTAAATGTAACCGTGTGTTTCTACTGATGGACGAGGAAAATGTATTCCCGGCTATTTATCTATTTTAAAAGCACAGAAGTAGCGCTGATCTGGAATCAGTTTGCTCTATAAACTTGCTATGAATGAGTCGCTCGAGGGAACCCGGGGCAGTGACTCTGGATCAGGGCCTCTCTGTGTCCAGGAGCTCAGTAAATACGGGCCCTGGTTGTGTTTTTTCAATTAAAACCAACGGGAGCTTCTGTTCTGTGTAAACACAAAGTCTGCTCCACCAGATGAAGCTATTGGCCGGCTGCTCTCTGGCCAGAAACATGTTGTGCAAGGACACACAAGTCGAACCCCAGAGCTGCTGCTGTATGAAAAATACAAGATGTGACATTTATTTGTGTATTAAAAGTCTAATTTCACTGACAGATGGTTGTGTTTCATTTTGAATGTACAAGGTACAAAGTTTTGTTAGAAAAAGTGTTTCTGTTGCCTAAAGGGCAGATGTGCCCCTGGAAACTGTTGGTAAGAGGTGACTGTGTGCAGTGTAAATGTGCTCATTGTGTGGAGGGCAGGTAGCCCCAGAGTGGTTAGAATTATGATGACTCTACTTACAGTCTTTCCATAAACTGCTGCTCAAATGGGGATGTGGGGAGTTCACCTCTTTCACAGTCGCTGTGAACCTGTTAGACTGCAGGAGAATATAAATGTATTTTCTCTTAGAGGAGAGACTTCAAACATGTTCAAACTGAAACTCCAACTTTATGACAGCTTATTTGGATTATTTTTAATAAACAACACGGGAAAATAAGTGCAACGTCTAGCTTTTAAAAAATGATTCAAGCCTTGACACCAAACAACAGAAATTGACAAGGACAACAAACTACACCCAATGGATAGTATAAGAACCTCCAGAGAAGATCCCAAGTCGTACCAGAATTTAAATACACAAGACCTTTAATATGTAAAAGATCCATTAAATCTCTTTAACCTGAAAGCACAAGAGAAAGGCAAATTAAATTATTAAACTCTTTTTAATTCTTCAATGTAAGAACAAACTGAGCAAGCTTTAGCTCCACCTATATCTCATTATGAAATGTTTCAAGGTGCAGAATAAGAGGTTCAGTCCCCGCTCTCTGTTAGCGAAAGTCTCCAGAGTTTTTCTGAGCCGAACAAGAGGCGTCTCCATGGTTTAGTGAGATGGGGGGGTAAACGGAACAGAGGGGGGCAGAGCAATGCAAGTGTCTGGACAGACAGAAACAGACTGCAGGCTGGGATGCGTGCATGTGTACTGTCTGGAGCTTCTGGGGACTGATTCTTCCTGCTGGAACTCCTCTCTTCACTCACTGAGGGGATTTATTGAGAAACCTGCAGGAGTTGAGGAGACATCTGATCACAAGGTGAGTAGTTTTTGCACTATTTGCATACTTGGAAATTTCTTTTATTTTTATTTTAGGATAACTTGTCGTTTTTCTTTGTAAAACACATGGTAAAAAAAAAAGGAATCACAAGCTGGGACCTCTTTAAGGTTGCACATCGTCGTAGTTTGCATCACCTTCATCGTGAAAAGCCATCAAAGGCGGCGGCGGGGGGGATGTGCAAAACAGAGACCAGGTCCCATAAACCCTGTTAGGTACATGCTGTTTCCGTGTTTGGTAGTAAACACAGCCTTGGCTTTCACTCATCAGAGGGGTTGCTCTGTGACCAAATCCCACCATTTCATCTCTGTAAAAAAATCCTATTTAAAAGAAAACGTAAAGGATAATTACATGTTTCCAATGCCACTCATGTATCTGTTTATAATCAGTTTTAGTTTGGAAATCGCTTTTTCAAAATGATGTACATATTACATGAAGCATCTGTCCACACATGACAGAGATACTGGACTGACTTATGGAGAGTGAAACACATTTAAGCTTGGTACTGTGGTACAGTATGGAGGTCTATGGACCTTTAATTATTATTATTATATATAATAATAATAATAAACTTTATTTTTAGAGTGTTTATCAAAAAAATACAAGTGCTTTACAGATAAAAATAAAATATCAACACGTTTAAAAGGCTAAATTAAAAATGTAAGACAAGAAATAAAAAATCGATCAAATAAACAGGCAGCTCAGATCAAATTAGAATATGCTTCCAGATAAAAGTATGTTTATAGACCAGCCTTATTTCCTCCGACAGCTTGTTCCAGAGCCTCGGGGCTCTGAATACAAACAGAACAAAAGAAAGATTAGATAGTACATTTGTTACACTCATAGATACTTGATGAAGAAAGCTCTGTCAGACCTGTGGCAGAGAGATGTCAAACAGATGTGAGGTCAGAGGTGTCAACAGCTCTGTGGGATGCCACATGGATGTGTGACCCCTGCAGGTCTCAGGTCAGCTGCAACCATAAACTGCCTGGGCAGCAAACAGACACTGAGTGCTGATTCAGTGTCATCACCCCGAATCCTTTAATTCTAACATCTTACATGTTGCCTTAGAATTAAGATGTGTCCTGTATGACCAACGCAACCTCTTTCTGCTTCTGAATGTGGACATATTGGCTACTTCTACACCGATCACAGACAGGTTTCAGACAGCAGTGGACATGACGGGTAACTGCTCTCCTGGGGACCGGATGGGGAAACAGTCTGTGGTTCTTTTCAGCCTCTCTTAAATCTCTTTAAACCACCTGTGCAGCAAAACACCCAAAAGCTCATTCATGGAGCATTCTGCCGACTTCATATGGCGGCAGATGGGAAAACTCTCATGTGGAGCCCACATGAACCCAAAACGCATGTCAATATGTTGCATTTCATCAGACTATGCCATCTGAAATGGGCTCTTTCCTGTGGCTCTAGAAAACCGATGCTATGTGCGCTACATCGATACACACTAAAATGTGAAATCTGAAGCTGAGGAGGTCAAACATGCAGGAGGTGAATGTTCTCCCTATTTATATCCCTCCTCATTAACTTAAATGCTCTGTGGGATTAACTAGTTACCTTACTGATACAGAGTCGCTATATTTGTTTCCTATACCAAGGAGCTTATGTTTTCAGACCTGCACGGTTGTTGGTTTGTTGGTTAAAAGCAGATTTCAACAGATAATTAACAGATTTCAGGGAAATTTGGTGTATTGAGGAATTATGGATTTGTGGTGTAAATAGCACCGCCATGTGGCCATTTGTAAAGCCCATTACATTTTTATGGATTTCTGATCCCTGGAAACGCATCTCAATCAGCTTCTTACTACCAACGCAACATTTTATGCCAAAGCTGGAACAGTTTGAGTTATTTCACATGAGAGATTTCTGTATTTGTATCTTTTCAAAACAGATTTTGTTTTTGTTTGCCATTCCTCCCATAAGTTGCATCCGAAGTTATTCATTTGCTTTTTCTGATGTGTCATACCATTTGGATGCCAAACTCTGGGTGCAGCCTAATTGGCATAGACTGCCCTCACATGTTATTATGAGATTAAGATGACAGGTGCACAACTTTAGACAATCCTGCAAAATGTAGGCAATCCTGCCTACATTTTGGCGGTGATCCAGCAACGTGATATATTTTAATGCCATCAATTATGAGTCTGACTTGCATCAAATTTAGCAAAATGGATCCTTGTTCAAAATCAAATAGGGCTGTGGAGGTCTTTAAACGTCACAACCATCCGCCTGACTGTTATTGTGTTTATGTTGATGCAGATTGAACATTTTCACAAAGAAAATGATGTGATGAAAATAACACATTTCCTTATTTTCCCTCTTGCCTTATTGCCTCTCTCTCTTTCTGTCTCTGTCTTTCCTGTTCAATGCAGGCTTGTTCTCTGCTTGCACTGCATTGTGGGATTCTATCAGTTCTTGCTCTTCTCTCTCTCTTGCTCTCTCTTAACGCTGCAGTTGTCACATCTTGTCAGAATGAGGTCCCTGGCTCTCTGCCTCTTCTTCCTGTTGTGCTGTAACGCAGTCCGACTGGACAGACGGCGTCCCAGACCCATCGCGGCCAGAGGTCGCAATGAGACCACTGTCCAAACCAAACCAGTGGGTAAGTCATCAGTTGGTGACCAATATGTGTTTTGCCAACTGCATTTGCTATCTAAGATACAAAGTTGAACATTTTTCTAGAATCGAGTTTAGATATTTCCCCAAACTGAACTGTAAGTTTGGAGCATTTGGTTCCCTGATCAAAAACCTCCATGTCTTTGATCACAGAGAACCCCTGCAAAGCAATGCCGTTGGATTTCGTCTTTGTCATCGACAGCTCCCGGAGCATCCGCCCCAACGACTACGAGAAGGTCAAGGCCTTCATCGTCGACCTGCTTCAGTTCCTCAAGGTGGGCCCAGACGCCACGCGGGTCGGCCTGCTGCAGTACGGCAGCGTGGTCCAGCCCGAGTTCTCCCTCAACACCTACACCACCAAGGCCGAGGTGGAGCAGGCGGTGGGGAGCATGGAGCACCTCGCCACGGGAACGATGACCGGCCTGGCCATCCAGTACACCATGGAGACGGCCTTCACCGAGGAGGAGGGGGCACGACCTGCAGACCTGCTCATCCCGCGGATCGCCATGGTCGTGACTGACGGACGGCCTCAGGACACGGTGGAGGAGATCGCGGCTCAGGCGAGGCAGGCCGGCATCCAGATCTTTGCTGTCGGAGTCGGCAGGGTGGACATGAACACGCTGAAGGCCATAGGGAGCGAGCCGCACTCTGAGCATGTGCACCTGGTGGCCAACTTTAGCCAGATAGAAACCCTCATCTCCGTGTTCCAGTCCAAACTGTGCGGAGGTGACAAATCCCATCTATTTATTTCATCCTCATGTACGCATGCACATGTGTTTGCGTCCCTTTTATCTGAGTGTCGGTGTTGGTGCGTTATAGGGTCAGAGATGTGTGAGGTGGTGGACCACCAGTGCCAGCAAATCTGTGTGAGCAGTCCCGCCTCATACAGGTGCAAGTGCAGGAAGGGCTTCACCCTCAACCCCGACGGCAAGACATGCACAGGTGGAGGAAGTCCTTTTTTTCTCTCTTCTGATCTGCTCTTTTAAAAAATGTTTTCACCTAAAAACGTTGTCTTTTTTTGGTTCTTCATGAACAGACAATGTCCGTCAGCTCTGCAGAGTTTTGGTGTCTTTCAGCTCTTTGTTGTCCCCTCCACTGTCACCCTGTAGCTGAGGATATGTGTGCTGTGGTGGACCATGGCTGTGAGCACATCTGTGCCAACTTACCAGATGGCTACGAGTGCCGCTGCCATCCAGAGTATCAACTCAACGTAGACCTGAAGACGTGCGACAGTAATGATACATTTCCTTCTTCACCGGGGACGTCTCTTCCTGCATCAGTAGTGACCTTAACCTCTTCCTTCACTAGCTTTATCAGCTCCATTCTTTTTCAGAGTGCTTATTTTACCACTTGAAGCAGTTCAAATGTAAATGAATAATTTGGAGAATGCACACGTAACAAGGTCTGAGGGTTCTGTTGTTTCTTTTCACACAGCCCATCAGTCAGTTATGTGACTTAAATCATCATATTACTAAGTATACAAACCAACATCAGCATGATCTTTTTACGATATTTCTACAATATTTACTCCTAATGGGGAAAGGACCACCTTGAGGAAGGCATGATAGCCGAAGACGTTTGGCAAATAAAACATTGGTGTAAAGATGGACCTCCAATCCAAATGAGAGCCAGCTCTCTTCCCACCAGTGACCCTCCGCCCACTGTTGGAAAGCATCCCTTTCTGCTCCTCTGGGGGACATTAACAAAAAGCAAAGTGGGGGAGATTTCCTGAAGGAAGTGTGCATTTGCGATCATCAGAGCAGCAGCTGAAATGTGGAGGTGTATCCAGGGTGTCATAGTATCCCCGAGTCAAAACAAGAACCGTTCTTTGATCTTTCCCGTCTGGGGTTCACAAGTCTACACTTTTACCAGTCCTTTATGAGAGTGGGTTTGGAGTTTTGATGAATGCATTATGGTTTTCTGTTCTGTATACTAGGTATACATGTGTGGAGCTGAAAGGCCTTATGCATACAGAAAACCATTGTGATGATAACTTTTAATAGATATTCTACAGTAGTCATTACTGCTTATTATTGCTGTAAGTATTAGTATTGTAGTAATAAGTATTCTTGCATTAACAGAACAGACCACTGTGACCTTGGGATTCATGGCTGCAGCTGATACTGACTCGACTTCAGGCTACATCAGGCTTTCTGTCTTCTAGGATTATGTATCGTCATTTGTTGTTGTTCAATCTCTGTTCTTGTCACCCAGAGATCGATCGCTGTGCTGATGGCACCCATGGGTGTGAACAGGAGTTCACCAACACAGAAGACGCCTGTGTGTGTAAATGCAGGAAAGGCTACACACTCAGAGCTGATGGGAAAACGTGCAAGAGTAAGTGTCCATTTTCTGTGTTTGACATTTTGATATTTCAAAAGTAGTAGAGCTCAACAGGTAGCCACGTTCTATAAGAAGGGATTCCTTAATCCTGCCGGTCCTGATAAACGGACTGTTTCCTGCAGAGGTGGATCGCTGTGCTGATGGCGCCCACGGGTGTGAACAGGAGTTCACCAACGCAGAAGACGCCTGTGTGTGTAAATGCAGGAAAGGCTACACACTCAGAGCTGATGGGAAAACATGCAAAAGTAAGTGTGAGCGTAGCTTATTTCCCATCATTGCTGTTATTTCTTTCACAATGAGATATAATGCTGCATACATTAAGAAAGTTTGTACACAAACTGTTTCATCCGTCCATCAGGACTGCAAGCATATTAACTGTAGCACAAGAGGACACCTAACCCAGATGTGATGCATTCACTGTCATCACCTCCGCTGATAAATGCTTGGATGGGTCTGCAGCACGATTAGATGTTCTCAGTAATCATGTCTGTTCCCTGCAGAGACGGACCACTGCGCTGACGGGAAACACGGCTGTGAACAGGAGTTTATGAGCACTGACGATTCGTGTGTGTGCAAATGCAGAAACGGATTCTCACTCCGACCTGATGGGAGAACATGTCAGAGTGAGTGCAGGGTCGTCCACTGTCATGAATATGACGTGAACTGCAGCCAAAGGATATTTAAACAGTGATTTGATGGGACACACATCAAAGTGTTTTTCTGTCTTGAGGCTTCTGATTCGTTTTCATAAATTCATTTTAATTCGTATCAAACTGAAGAAAAGCCTAACTCTGACTCTCTTCATGACTTATTTGACAGTATGAAAGAGACAGAATTGATATAGCGTGAGATAAAAGTGAACAAAAATGCAGAGCGTAATCTCTCATCATCATCAGGACTGTTTGTCCGTTTCCTCCGGTATTTAAATGTTACATCATTTTTGGATGAATTTGGAACCAGTCGTGAGGTCCCTCCTAATCCGGATTAAGGGGATATTCTGTGTTTATGATTCCCGTCATGAAGCATTGATAGTTATTAGTTTGTTATGTGTTTGTAGCCTCCTCCTTCCTTAACAGAAGACAGATAACTTACAGTTACAAGAACATGCGATTAAGAATACAATTTTGCGTGATCACAAATTGTCATTTTATTGACTTTCACAATATATTATAAAATAAAAATGTATCATTTAGACACTTTAATGCGCCACAGCCAGATCGTACTAATGCTGTGTTTCAGGTCTGGATGTGTGTCAGACAGTGGACCATGGCTGTGAGCACCAGTGCGTCAGCACCGTTGACTCCTACATCTGCAGATGTTTTGATGGATTTATGTTGGCTGAAGATGGGAAGAGCTGCAAGAGTATGATGTCAGCTTTCTTTCATATCGACCTTCTGCTTATTAAACATACCTAAAACATGTGCTCGATGTCCTTGTTCCTGACAGAGCCGGAGTGTGGCGATGGAGTCATGGATCTGATTTTCGTAATCGATGGCTCTAAGAGTCTGGGCCCTGCTAACTTTGAACTGGTGAAGCGGTTTGTGAACAGCATCGTGGACTTGCTGGACATTTCCAGGACAGGTGCCCATGTCGGCCTTCTCCAGTACTCCACCAAGGTGCGCACGGAGTTCACCCTGGGCCAGTACAGCACGGCGCACACTGTCAAGCAGGCCGTGTCCCGGATGCAGTACATGGGGAGAGGCTCCATGACGGGCTCCGCCTTGCGCCACATGTTTGAGTCCAGCTTCTCGGCCAAAGAGGGAGCCAGGCCGAACGTCCCCCGTGTCAGCGTTGTGTTTACTGATGGGAGATCGCAGGACGACGTGTCCGAATGGGCTGATAAAGCAAAGAACTCTGGTACACTCAGTATACACAGTTAACCAAGCTTTGTAGCAGGACTTTCCTTTCATTATTCTGCTTTCTGTCATTTCCAGGGGTCACGCTATACGCCCTGGGTGTTGGCAAGGCCATTGAACAGGAGCTGAGAGAAATAGCTTCAGAGCCCGATGAGAAGCACCTTTACTACGCTGAAGATTTTGAGAAAATGGGAGAGATTACAAAGAAGCTCAAGTCCAGGATATGTAAAGGTACTTCAGCAGTTTGTCAAAAGAAGCATCGAACCACCAAACAGAGTGAAAGTGCTCAAGGATGTCGGATTAGAAGTAGCACTGTTTCTTCCATTGAAATGGTGCATCGCTGCCACCTGCTGCTGCTGCGATGACAAACTGAATCAAGCAACTCTATACAATTTGAGGCAGCAGCACTGTGCAATTATCCATAACGCATAACTCATCAGTCTTTTTTTTGCTCTGCAATCACCACCCCCCCCCCACCACACACACACACGCACACACACATCTACTACATTCTGTACAGGCAGAGACAGAACGAATAGAAGAGATATGGTGAGCAAAGGGGTAAGAAACTGATCCAAGGACGGGAGTTATTCTCATCTCACGTATTCTTTCCCTGCAGACAAACCATCCGGTGACAACATGTGCCAGTGTGAGAACGTGATTATGTTTCAAAACCAGGTCACCGAGAAGCTGAAGAAGCTGGTACAGAATAATATCCTTTTCCAAATAACTGTAGACTCCACAGTTACACTCAGATTCACCAGGGATCTTTGGTAGTCTTGGGTCGATGTGTGTCTGCCAAAGAATCCCTCAACTGCTAATGAATGGTGTCAACAGTCAATAGTATTTAAATAGCCTAATATCACAAATTGTATACATGTAAACGTATGAACAGCTACAAACAAATAGACAACTACAAGCAGGTGTATTTAACTGATCCGTTAAACACAGGTAAATACCATGATGTGTCTCTTTTTCATTTCAGAAACAATGTACAGTATATGAATGTCTTCACTCTGACACATGTTGTGAGGGACCAAGTTGGACACCAGAATCAATCTAAGGGTTTTATCTGCCTGCATTTTCACTTTGAACACGAACACATTCAACAGGGCAAAGTCATGCAGCTCTTATAGCTCCCTGACGTTCAGCTCATGAATGGAGCTCCGGGCATTAACAATGAACATACTGAGATGACTGACAAAGAGATAAAAGAGGAGACAAGGGAACATTCTATACATCATACCAAAGTGAAGGGAGGATTCGCAGTCAATTCCTCCACCAATCCTTGTGTTCATACACTTTGTGATTAAGCTATTCATTTAATTAGCAAACGTTACTATCGTCCAAAGTAAGCTAACACCAGTCTGCCCCAAATGCCTGAATATGCGCTGTGATATGCCCAACATATGTAACAAAGGACATGTGACTTTACACATAAAACAGTCATTTTGTGGGTTTGGAAAATTACTTTTTGGGAAAAAACTTGATAGTAGACCTATAGTGAAAAGCAACTCTAACACTTGGTATGTAGGTTGTGTTTTATTTTGTTCCTGCATCTTTCCTTAACTTGCCTACTTGAAGCCATGACAAAGAAGCTGGACACACTCGAGAATCAAGTCGTAAACAAATGAAAGACGGAGACTCACCTCCCCAAACCTGCAGCGTGGCGTTCACAGGGCCCCTTTAATCCTGCTCTACAAGTCGCACTGAAACATGCCTAATGCGATGCTTTCTACTGAAGCTATTTATACACTTCTTTGTATACAACACAATGTATTTTTTTTCTGTAGTGTTCTTTGTCAAGTAATGCCAAATGAAATCAATAACTTTGTACAGTAAACATTTTACACTTCACGTTTCTTGTGTATGTTTTTTTTCTAACAAATTTCACAAAATAAATGAAAGCTGCTCAGTCAGCAATACAACTGCAAACCAGTATAACAGTATACCTTCACTGACACGATAAAAATAGAACCACTCTAAAGAAATGCGTATAGGTTCTACATGTGCTCCCCATGGAAATGAAAAAAGATGATCAGTGTACCTAGTATAGAATTCATATGAAAATACCCAGATCTTGAGCATGCGCACTAGTGTTTCTTTTACCCCCCCCCCGAACCGAGGAAGGAAAATAAATATATTTTATCAAAATAAAATTGAGTACATAATCATTCAAATAAGCAATATTAACGTGTAAAAAAATGACATGACAGAGGTTGTAATACCACCATTTGACAACTATAGCTGTGTCCCAGCTTCGCATCCTTCGTAGGCTGCTTTTGTGGACCGAATGGTAAAAAAAAAAGAATAATAATAATATTAATACAAATTCCCATATTTTCTTATTCATGAGAGGCTAACATTTAAATAATGTTATAAATAATATAAATTTTCGTAAAAATGGCAATATTTGAAATTTACACTGATAATATCTTGCCTCAAAAATGATCAGAAGTGAATTTATTGATAATATACGAAAATTGCAAATATAAAAACCTACTGTTGGTCAGACCGGGTAGCCAACGTGAGCTGCCGTGCCTGAGTCGCTAGCCCTGGGGCGGGGCCTCTCTGGGTCGGTTAGCATCATAGCTAGGCTAACGCTAGCGCTTAGCAGGCTGTAGCCAATCAGAGGCGGGTCTTCCCTCGAGTCGCTCCCTGCACATGCGCAGAACCGATCGGGCACTAGCAAAAACCACCAGGTGGAGCATTTCTTCCCGAGGGGACACTCCCACAAAGGGGGAGGACACACACTTGACACACACGCGTTTGTCTCCCCCCCTCCTGTATGAATAGTTTGCCTGTTAGCATTAGACAGTCAGTGGACATTCATGCATAGCTGCTTTCAGTTGGGGGTAGCGGGCCATGCACACACACACAGAGACCAGGGGAGATAATGGTGCCCGGCTACTCTTAGCGACCGATGAGCAATAGCGGTCTATGCGTTCTGTCTCTGCTAACAGAGCGGCGGGACGTTTGTTTCTACAGAGTAAAAAGTTCCAAGTTTGTTTGTTTTTGAATTTTTACTTGTCTCAACTCTTGTCTTCAAACATGGGGTGCTCCTCATCCAGCGCTCAGACCGTGGACCAAGAGAAAAGACCGGGTACGAAGCCAGAGGAGAGCAATGGCGATACAGTGGGTGAGTAGTGATCCCCCGTGTCGAGGTTAAAAGTGTATATCTGTCTTTTACATATCAATTTCTATAACCGGTGAGCATGCATTATGATTTATACCGCTACTCTAGACATGCACAGTAGTTGCTTTTAGTTTTCCTTCACTCAGTGGAGTCTTGCAGAGGGGGGTGTGTGTCTGCTGGCCGCTCTGGAACACTGTGTGCTTTCTCACTCCACTGTGTAGTAATCCAGAAACTCCTCCTGGAGGGACTTCTGTATGCTAACCCATTAACTCAGCAGGGCTCACAATATGGTTGGAGTTTATTTGTAATCGGCCACCTCTAGCTTGATGTTCGTAGAAAGTGTGTGGACCAAAAATAAGAAACTGTGTCACGTGATTAATTGATGAAATGAGTTGTTTTTTTAAATTAGTTAAACATGAAAGCTATATGTATATCCTCAAAGCTATATGTGCATTTTGCCTGTAAGTGAACCTAGACTGGTCTCTAGGATTGCCAGCTGGGAGTTTTCTTTTTTTTTGGAGGTCCTTCTGCAGCCTGAGGCAATAAATACAACCCAACCTGTTTTCTGCCACGTACAGTAGTCTGATTTGTTGCTAGATATGTTGGACACGCAACAAAAAAAAATAGATCAACCTGATGTCTGCCAGTCATGCTTCCGAAGTTTGTATGCAAAGGTATGCATGATAAGAAGTGTTTGAAATTCGCTCCAGGAATTTACAACTCACACACACATGGTTACATACATACACACAGATACACACACATACACATGGTTACATACATACACACACGTACAAACAGTGGATGCCTGGTTGCAAAGAGAAAGAGGAGGGGCTGGCAGATGCCTGAATGCCTCCAGGCTCCTCAGAGATTCCTCTGCACGGGGAGTTTTGCATCTAAACGTGCAGTCGCGCTCTGGTTTTGCTCACATGGACTCTGCGGTTCTCAGACTGTGCACACGCCCACCGAGCAGCCTGACACAGACCGTGATTGTTAATTCATGGGTTCAACCCACTGGTACATGGCTATGTCATGCCTGGCACAGCTGCATGTACAGTATGTTCTTACTCCATCTCACCACATACGAAAGACAGTTACTCTCCTTGTCAGAAAGCGTTCCTTTCACTTTGATTTGAAGAAAAGATGTCACTTTACACCTTTGTTGAAGGAAAGTGAGCGAATGAGCAAAGCCTACTCAACTGTCACGTACTCATTACACCTGGCGTGCTTCCTCTGTATTCGTGTCCAGCCTTTTCATCTCCCGCTACGTCACCGTGTGATGTTTGTGTCGGGGCATTGTCTCCCTCCAGCCGGCCAGCATCGGTCACCTGGAGAAGCTCGGGCCCCTCTCCAGGCTCTTACATCACCCAGACAAGAGAACCACTTATTTGGCCAGACACGCTCCTCTAAATGTGGGTGGAGGTTTTAAACCATGCAGCGTACAGTGTGTCTAACAAAACCAGCTGTATGCCATCCAAAGACACCACTGGTCCCATCCCCTGTCCAGCCCCCCCCCCGCCCTCCTCTGTGCACTGTTTTGACTGGGATCTCTGTCATCTGTGGCTGCTAAATCATGTTGACACGCGAGTCATCCATGCCTGGAGAGGCCGCCCCCGTCTCGACCCAAACAGACTTTCCAACAGCAGGCTCTGGCCCGCTGTGCTAGACAGCAGCTTTGCTTTGTCTGCGGGAGTCGGTGTGTGAGGTGGATTTCTGCTTAAAGAACGGCACGCTGATGGAGAACATGTTTCTCAAAAAGGAAAGTCAAAGGACTTAAATGTTGTAAAACCAGCTGTCTTAAAACGCCTTCTAATTAGAAATAGTTCACTTCACACGAACACTTGTTCCGTGTAACGCGTTCTCCCACTGGCTCGTTTGAGTTGCCAGACCGTCGCATTCCCTTCCACCCATCACTCTCAGCTCCTTTTACCACCTCTGACAGACAAATAAAGTGAGAAGCTGCAGCGTCCAAACTGTCCACCCACTCCGCTCTGTCAACCCATTCTGGTTTGGTCTCATTTGTGAACAGTGTGCAGCCAGTTGTTTTTGTAAAGTAGTTAACTGTGATACAGCTGCTGAGGGGAAACCCAGACGAGACACTCGGCAAAGCTTCTGTTTGGCTCTTCCTGTAACTGAGATGTGCGTTACAGTTCCTGACATTTGAGTTCAAGTATCCAATTCCCACTATTCTTCCTAAACTACTGGATTTTCACCTGAGGGAACACAGTTCTAAGAGCAGGGCTGAGGGGTATTGGGGTAGGGTGTCTCTTCAAAGGCAGCAAAGCCATCGTCACGTGTATTTCATTTCCTTTTAGAGAGACTTGCCCCTCGTCTGGGCTTTAGACAAACGCAGGCTTTAATAAATCATATTTCCAACTGCGGAAATGAAAGGATGTTTTCTCTAGATCACAGACTGTGTGCCTCATTGCCTTTATTCCTGATTCCCCTGCCTTCCATGTTGGATTAAGCGATTGTTTAGATGTTTTTGCAGATCATCATTTTGAAACCAGTTTATAAATGAACACATTGTATTTATTCAAGACGAGAACAAACGGGAACATCCATAAAACCTTGCATTATAGCAGATGACTCTTGGCTGAATGACGCAGTCGGGACACATTTTTACAAATGTTGATGAAGAATGTTGTCATGACAAATATGGTGATTTATTCACAAAACCATTCAATGCATAGATTATCTCAAGGCCCCCCCCCCCCCCCCAAGAAGTTTCAAGCTCAATCAAATCAGGAATGTTCTTTAAATGTTACAGATTAACAGGATATCACAAAAGATGAGTGCCACGAGGTCACCAGTCGTAAATCCTAATCAAGCTTCCCTTGTCGTCCTGTGTTGACAGCGGCCAGAAACGGCATCATCGCGGAAGATGCACAAACCATCGAGGACCAGATGCAGTTGCCTGTGCAGACGGCCCTGCCGGATGATCTCCAGCGGGGAGCCGATGATGAGGCGGAGGCCGTGTTGGTAGCCCTGGAGGCCCAGGAGGATCTCGGCTCTGGGGAGGACCTCCTGTCCGCTCCCGAGCCTCAGCCAGAACCTGTCAGCCCTGCAGAGCTGGTTCCAGAGGCTGCCGCTCCAGCTGAAGTCGCTACTGAAGCGGTGGAGGAAGCTGTCCCTGTAGAAACTGTCGTGGCCGCTGCGGAGGTCGAAGCCCTTGTTGAGGCGACAGAGGAGGCCCCTGCTGTTGAATCTGTTGTGCAGACCGAGGCCCCTGCTGTTGAATCTGTTGTGCAGACCGAGGCCCCTGTTGTTGAATCTGTTGGGCAGACCGAGGCCCCTGTTGTTGAATCTGTTGTGCAGACCGAGGCCC